GACAGTGATTTCACATATGTTGACTAAAATAAATATGTGCGTTTCTTTTCTATGATTATGTTTTTCTAACTTCATTTTTATAAATATTCGTTTCTATTGCACAGTACTAAGATAACTGTGTTCCTTGGGATGGAAGAAAACTTCAGATAGTTGCAAACACTTAACTAAGTTATTGAAAAGTTTAGTACATGCTGCCCTAGAGGGTCTCTCGCTGAAGAACTACAATACCCAGAATTCCTCCCAAAAGCGTCGGAGCGTCTTTTCCGCAGCCCTCGCGCGTGTGGTTCTTTGGGACATGTAGTGCTGACCTCCGTCGTGCACGCTGTGCTCGTCCGGCATTTTCCCCAGTTTTGGAGACTCACACCACCAGAAGAAAGGTGACGTCTCTCGAGGAAAGGTTAAAAAACTCTGGGGTGTGAGGGAGGAGTGCGCGAGACAACCGACTCTGTTGTGATCTTTGTTGGGGACAGAACTAGAAACAGCCTTGCCTTCTGAACCGTGGTTACCTGCCTCCCCCGGGAGCCTCCAGAAAAGTTACTGGGCGTTGAGGCCAAAACTTACCGGAAAGTCAGACCAGGTAGCGGCAGTAGGTCTACTCCTTCCACCTTGCACATTTTCGGTTCCGGGATGTAGGGTTAGTCCGTGAAGCAAAGGCCTCTTTCCGGGTATTGGATATTCCGGAGCGCGAAGGACGAGGGTAGGGTCGAACCGATTCCCAGCGGTGGCCGGAGAGACTTTCATTCATTTGCCCAGCGTGTGTCTTGCCTTGGAGTAGAGGATGCCTGTCACTTGCAAAAAGTGACGCTTATTTTACCTTGCAGTGAAACTGCTTCACAGTTCTTGAGGCCCATCTCACGAGTTCCTAGGCTTTCCTTTGATTTAATGACTTCCCCAAGGTCAGTTAGCTGTAGCACAACTGGTGCAGTTGGTATCTCTACTTGATTACCTCTGCACCTAACTCTTGAGCTGCTTCCCCTTTCAATTGCTGGTAAACAGGACCTTGAACGTACATTTGCTTTTTTTTTTTTTTTTTTTTTTTTTAATAGAGGCATGTTTTTATTTATTTATTTGTTTTGTTTGTTTGTTTTGTTTATACATGCACTGGGTACAGTCAGAAGTGTGGGAGGGTGAGAGAATTCACCAGAGCCAGAGCGGGGAGCAGAGCAGGCAGACTGACGAAGTACACTGCTGAGGGGAGCAGCGGGCGGCAGGAGAGGTCTGGGCGCCATGTGGGACCCTCCTCTGGTGGCCGGGGAGCAGCCGGGGATCGAACCGGCGTCACAGAGGCCGCGGGCAGCTTCGCAACCCAGCGCTCTACCGCTGCGCCACCTGGGAGGCCCCGTACATTTGCTTTTTGCAAAGTTTTGGTGTATGTGTGTGTCCCAAGTCCACTTGGGTAAATAATCTGTGCTGATTGCCAAAAAAAAGCCAATATTGTATCATCATTTTTTTTTTCTCGCGATAAGCTTGGCATAGCATTAGAGAGGAGTCTGATACATATTGTAGTGTTGATTTGTTGATATTAAAGAGCTGTTCAAGTTGAAAAGCAAAAGAACTGCGTGGTTGACCCAGCTTTACTAGTTCTAGAGTACTTTATCTTTTTTGAACTACACCCTTTTTATCTGTAAAATGCAAATGAATAGCTAATAAGCCCGTTAGTTGAGATAATTCAATAGGATATTATATTTTTACAGTCCTTTGTAGAGTGTTGCAGAAGTGTTAAATGATATACTTTTAAAATCATTGTTTCTCAACTTGAAATATAAAAATTGTAAGTATGTGTTTGAAATGTGTATTTGAAAAATTTCAAATGTGTATTTGAAATTTTAATTGTGTATCTCTGATAATTATCATTGGTTCTTTTATTTTTTCACTAAGTCTTGATACATAACTTGATTTCATACTTACTGAATGAAAGTGTTAATTATCTCTCTAATTGGTTAAAAGTTTGTAGCATCAGTAGTGTCTAAATTGTTTGGATTATTCAAAGAATACAAGGAGAAAAAAAGAGCAAGAAATCCTGAAAACAGATATACCAGAGACCATCTTTCTAGGAAAAAAAAAATATGGCTTTGAATTATGGCTACTCTTTACAAACTTTAATAGTGATATGTATTTATTTATAGTAAAATTTATTCTTTTACTTAAAAAGTTTTGGGTTTGGTGCTTTTTCTTTTTTCTTTTTATTTAAATTTTATTTTTATATTCCCCATGCAATTATAACCCCCTTATTTTGACCCCAGTCCCTCCTTTCCCCGCCCCCCAACCCCCATGGAGTGTCTCTGGTTCATAGTTGTTTGTTGATTTTGATATTTTCCTTCTTATAGTTATTCTTTTTCCTGGTCCCTTATTTAAGTTTTCTAGATTCCTGCTATGAGTGAGACCATCCGGGATTTTTTGTTTTCTTTCTGGCTTATTTCGCTGAGCATGATCCCTTCCAGCTCCATCCATGTTGCTGCAAATTGCATGTGTTTATCTTTTTTGAATACTGAGTAATATTCCATGGTGTATATGTACCACATCTTCTTTTTTTTTTTTTTTTTTTTTTTTTAATAGAGGCATGTTTTTTTTATTTATTTATTTGTTTGTTTGTTTTGTTTATACATGCACTGGGTATAGTCAGAAGCGCGGGAGGGTGAGAGAATTCACCAGAGCCAGAGCGGGGAGCAGAGCAGGCAGAACGACCGAAGTACACTGCTGAGGGGAGCAGTGGGCGGCAGGAGAGGTTTGCGCGCCATGTACCACATCTTCTTGATCCAGTCATCTATTTTTGGGCATTTGGGTTGTTTCCAAAGCTTAGCTATTGTAAATAGTGCTGCTATAAACATAGGGGTGCAGGTGCTCTTTGGAATTGATGTTTCTGTGTCCTTTGGGTAAATACCTAGGAGTGGAATTGCTGGATCATATGGAAGCTCTATGTTTAGTAGGTCCAGAAATCTCCACACAGCTCTCCACAGTGGTTGGACCAGTTTGCACTCCCACCAACAGTGCAGGAGAGTTCCTTTTTCTTCACATCCTCACCAACATTTGTTGTTGCTAATTTTTTTAATATGTGCCATTCTCTCTGGTGTAAGATGGTATCTTATGGTAGTTTTGATTTGCATTTCCCTGATTACAAGTGATGTTGAACATTTTTTCATATGCCTGTTGGCCATTTGCATTTCTTCTTCAGAGAAGTTTCTTTTTAGCTCCTCTGCCCATTTTTTTTTTTTTAAAGATTTATTTATTTATTTATACAAGCACTGGGTACAGTCAGAAGCACGGGAGAGTGAGAGAATTAACCAGAGCCAGAGCGGGGGGCAGAACAGGCAGAAGGACTGAAGTACACTGCTGAGGGGAGCAATGGGCCCGGCAGGAGAGGTCTGCGCGCCATGTGGGACCCTCGCCTGGTAGCCGGGGATCGAATCGGTGCTGCAGAGGCTGCGGGCAGCTTTGCAGCCCAGCGCTCAACCGCTGTGTCACCAGGGAGGCCCCTCTGCCCATTTTTTTTGACTGGATTATTTTCTTTGTTTTTGTTGAGTCTCATCAGCTCTTTGCAGATTTTTGTGATCAGTCCTTTATCATTAGTGTTGTGTGCAAAAATGTTCTTCCAGTCGGTGGGGTTTCTCTTTGTTTTAGTTACTGTCTCTTTTGCTGTGCAGAAGCTCTTTAATTTGATGTAGTCCCAGCTGTTTATCTTTGCCTTCACTATCACTGCTTTGGGTGATGTGCCTGTAAAGATGTCTTTGATGTGCATATCATGTAGTGTTTCGCCTATATTTCCTTCTATGTATTTTATGGTTTCAGGTCTTATGTCTAGTTCTTTAATCCATTTTGAGTTGGTTTTTGTGTATGGTGTGAGGTAGTAGTCAAGCTTCATTCTTTTGCATGTAGCGACCCAGTTTTCCCAGCACCATTTATTGAACAAACTTTCTTTGCTCCAATGTATATTCTTTGCTCCTTTGTCAAAGATTAGTTGACCATAAACCTGTGGGTTTATTTCTGGATTTTCTATTCGATTCCATTAGTCTGTGTGTCTGTTCTTGTTGGGTTTGGTGCTTTTTCACTCCTCTGCTTTTATAGTCAAACTTAAAAACTTTATGTAAAGTGTAGATTTTGAAAACTTTAATGGAGTGCAGAAAGAAACCCACTTTCCTGGACATATAGTTTTTTTTTTTTTTTAAAGATTTATTTATTTATTTATTCATTTATACAAGCACTGGGTACAGTCAGAAGCGCGGGAGGGTGAGAGAATTTACCAGAGCCAGAGCAGGGAGCAGAGCAGGCAGAAGGACCGAAGTACACTGCTGAGGGGAGCAGCGGGCAGCAGGAGAGGTCTGCGCGCCATGTGGGACCCTCCTCCGGTGGCCGGGGAGCAGCTGGGGATTGAACCGGCGCTGCAGAGGCTGCGGGCAGCTTCGCAACCCAGCGCTCAACCGCTGCGCCACCAGGGAGGCCTGGACATATAGTTTTGGAATAAATTCTATCTGTTTCAGACTAAGAACAAAGTCTGTACTTAGTGCACAAAAATCTTGTTACTTTAATTTGAATTTTGGAATCAACATTAATAAGAGAAGAATAATTATGTTAAAACAATTCTTTTACAGAAACTACATATTGGAATGGAATTTGGAGTCATCATAATGAAAGCAAAATACATGAATGAAAAAGAGTTATTTTTACTACACCAGCATATTGTACCTGATTGCTAGTTGCAATTTTTTTTTAACTTAAGAAAATTTGTAAACTCATTGTTTACAAATATGATTCCTGTAAGAGCTTTTTGTCGATTCTCCTGGAGAGTGTTTCAATTTCGACCCTTCAGTTGTGAACCATTAATAAGTCAGATGGATAAGTGTACAGATGAAGAGCAAATATTTGATCTAATTGAAAAAAACAAAACCATTCTTTCAGAAAAGCAAGTGGGATATGCATTTAATATGCTTTGGGAGTTTAAAAAGCAGAAGACCAGTCTGTTAAAAAATGTTGAATGTATCAAAGACCATCCCCAATTTCTTGCTCTTCAAAATTTAACTACAAAGAAAATAGAGCTCATGAATGATGAGACCCTGGTGAATGTGTTGTACATCACACAACAGTAAGTAATGTCCATTTACGATTTATGGAACTGATTATAATTTATTTTTATATTTTAATTTTCTAAAAGTCTCTTTAAAATGAAAAACAATGTGGATTTTTTTTCTCATAAATATTTTTCCTGGTAATATTTGAGATGTCTGGGTGACATTCTTTGATACCGTTTAGTAGAATTACAATTTAAAAAATTGGAATTTTATCATGAAAGTAGAAAAATTATTAACTTCTATGTAATTATGGAATCTTTTTGAAAGACGGTTGGCCAAAGATGATGAAGATGCAATTAGAATTCAAATTAAGCAATTAGATTTCAAATTAATGCCTAATAACAGTAAACAATTAGTCAATTGTTCCTGTGTTTATATGAGGAACTCCTGCAGCTCAATAGTAGAAAACCAAATAATAACTTGATTTAAAAATAGACATAGGACCTGAATAGACATTTTTTTCCAAAGAAAATGTACTAATGATCAGCAGGTGTATGAAAAGATTCATAGCATCACTAATCATTAGGGAAAATGAAAATCAAAAATACAATGAGGGGCCTCCCCGGTGGCGCAGCAGTTGAGCGCTGGGTTGCGAAGTTGCCCGCAGCCTCTGCAGCGCCAGTTCGATCCCCGGCTGCTCCCCGGCCACCAGAGGAGGGTCCCACATGGCCCGCAGACCTCTCCTGCCGCCTGCTGCTCCCCTCAGCAGTGTACTTCGGTCCTTCTGCCTGCTCTGCTCCCCGCTCTGGCTCTGGTGAATTCTCTCACCCTCCCGCGCTTCTGTCTGTACCCAGTGCTTGTATAAATAAATAAATATTTAAAAAAAAAAAAAAAATACAATGAAATGTCACCACCTGCTTGACAGGATGATTGTTACCAAAAAGGCAAGAAAAAACAAGTTTTGGTGATGATGTGGAGAACAGGGAACCCTTGTGCATTGTTCATGCTCATGTACAATAGATTGATATAGTCATTATGGAAAACATTGTGGCCAGTCCTTAAAAAATTAAAAATAGAACTACTATATGACCCAGCAATCCCACCTCTGGGTGTATATTCAAAGGAAATAAAATTTTCTCAGAAGTATCTTCAATCTCACATTCAGTGCAACAATATTTATAGTAGCCAAAATATGGAACTAACCTAAGAAGCAGTTGACAGATAAAATGGTTAAAGACCTTGTGGGGTGTGTATGTGTTTGTATTTTGTATATGTTATATTACAGTGTATATATACTTTAAAAAAGAAGGAAATTCTGCCATTTGCAACAGAGATGAACAGGATGCATGTGAATAACATTATGCTAAGTGAAATAAATCAGACACAAATGAATACTGCATGATCTTACTTATATGTGGAATCTAAAAATAAAAATGATGAAGTCGTTATACCTACTGAATCCTTTATTGAAGGAATCCAGATCTTCCTTAGGCTAGATTCCCTTCCAAAAATATAGAATGCCTTTTTCTAGTTTTCCCCAGTTTTACTGACATATGATAGACAAATACAAACTGCATGTATTTAGACTGTAAATGTGTTAAAATAAATAAATATTGTGTAATATTATCACAATTAATTATTATTACAATCAAGCTAAATAATGTACCCACCACTTCATAGTAATCCTTTTGGGGGTGTGGTGGGAAGAACACTTGAGATTACTCTCTGAGCAAATTCCAGGTGTGTAATACATTAACTATAGTCACATGTTATACCTTAGGACTCCAGAGTGTACTCAATAACTGAAGCCTGTACCCTTTGACAAGCATCTCTATTTTCGCGGCACTCTAGCTACTAGTAGCAACCTCTTTACTCTGTTACTGTGAATTTGACTTCATCGTTTTTATTTCCTCTGCAGTATGTCTCTGATTTATAATTGTCCGTTTTTGCTTTGTTGTGTTTTATACTGTTATTATATACACATAATGAAATATATTTCTTTTACAGTTTTGTATCCTAACTTTTTCACTATGTTAACATTATATTGTGAGCATTTGCCCATATCAATACATGTTCTTTAAAATATGATTTTAAGTAATCGCATATTATTCCATTGTATAGGATCATTTAGTTAAATATTCACCTATTAGAATTAGTTTTTCACATTATAAACAACACTGAGATCACTCTCACTCTCTCTCTCTATATATATATAATATATATATAGATAGATATAAACAATGCTGGGATGTAGATATATATACATACGTATCTTTCCCTTTGTTGTTCTTTACACACTTTCTGCTATAAAAATATTTTTATAATACTTACCTGTTAGGGAAGATATCATGATCACAAAGGTGGTTTTTGCAGGGTGAGACTTATTTATCGCATTCCAGATATGCTGACTCCTGTGATTTCCTCAAATGTGGGAAACTCAGCTCAATAATTTTGTGGTAGTGGGGGACTGTGTTCGCCCTCTACCCCATCACTTCTGTGCAATAAAAGTAATTCTTTGCAAATTCTAATTTTTTTCCTAATCAGAGCAAAATTATACATGTTATATGTACTTTCACTATATATCATTGTATATTTTCACCACTTAGTGGAGGGCATTGAAATAAGAAAATAAACAGATGAGAGGGGCATGGGATAAAGTGTAGACGTTTATTAGGTTGCATAAGAAATCAGAATACTGAAATGGGAATTGATCAGAAATAAAGATTGACTGTAAAAAAGTATAATTTGAGGCTCACTTCTATAGTATAATTCTTACTGCATGCATATTTGATGATTTAAAAATGTTTATGTATGGAAAGTAATTGTCTATTGTTTTTATTGAGATTTGCTGTTGAGGCCCATGACCCATTTGTTGAAGCCTTAGTTACAGAAGCATGGAGAAGACTGGAAAGGCAAGTACCCTGGGTTCATCATCTAAGGCAAAGGCTACCCTTTTTATGGTTAGCATAGTAAAATCTTACAGGGAAAGAATGGGGGGTTGGTGCCTACTATCAAGCTTAATTGAACAAAATGTATTTAAACTGAATTTTGTTTGAGGGTTTTTTATTGTGTAAAGTCTGTTTTTTATTTAGCACAGTGAAATCTTTCAGAGGAGTGTGTCTTTCTCTTTAAGAGGAAAAGAATAGTATTTCAAATGTTATACCTTAAAATTAAGAGTGGGAGATATTATGTACTTTATATATCACTATACTTACATATATTTATATGTAATTAATATATATCACTTATATAATATATAATTAATATATGTCACTCACATAGTATATAATTAATCAAAATATTAATACTGTAGAAGCATAGCTGTTTGTGGACTAGGTTTCTTGAATCTTTTTTCTGCAAGAGTTCTGTTTCAGAAAGAAAAGATTCTCTGAGTGATAGGCTGTCAATATCAACCTAAAGTTCAGTAGCCATAAAAGAAGCAAAAAGAAGATAATCAGTTTAGTAGAAAGGATGACTTTATAACTGTGTTTAGCAGCATCTGTAGGTAATTATCTATCACTCCACCTTTATGGAGAGACAATGAACAGGGAGCTCCTAGGTGACTTAAAAACTTTCAGGTCCACTGCTGTAAATGGTATCAGTTCAGATCTATCAATATTTCCTATGCTATACACAGTTATATTTTTGGCATGTTGCTATAATCAGTAATCATCTAGAAACATGTGAAATTTGCTCATGTTTTTTTCTTATGAGTTTAGAGAAATCTATACTAGATTATTCTATTTATGCGGTGTAGGAAAACACGAGAAATTATTTATAAAACACCTGAGATAATAATAGTTCATGTGGGGGCCTCCCCGGTGGCGCAGCGGTTGAGCGCTGGGTTGCGAAGCTGCCCGCAGCCTCTGCAGCGCCGGTTCAATCCCCGGCTGCTCCCCGGCCACGGGAGGAGGGTCCCACATGGCGCGCAGACCTCTCCTGCCGCCCGCTGCTCCCCTCAGCAGTGTACTTCAGTCCTTCTGCCTGCTCTGCTCCCCGCTCTGGCTCTGGTGAATTCTCTCACCCTCCCGCGCTTCTGACTGTACCCAGTGCATGTATAAACAAAACAACAAACAAATAATAAATAAATAAAACATGCCTCTAAAAAAAAAAAAAAAATAGTTCATGTGGGAATTTCTTAAGCTATTTTTGAAAATTTTGAGTTTATTTAACCTCAGGATTCTATATAACCAAGGTCCATTAGTAATGGAATAAAGCAAATGTTAGTGAATAGAGAGAAAATCAAGGTGGTTAAGAAAGAGGAAGACTGAAAATAAACAAAAACAGAATCACTCTCTTCCAAAATGAAATAGAAATCTGTGATAAAAGGAAAATTTTGACTAAGGTAAGGAAGAAATAGGTCATTTATTCATATACAGGGACAGACATTCCCATATTATGCTTTTTTTTAAACTATAGTGCTTCTTAAAGCATAAATCTTGAAATATTCTTAGTTATTGTAACATACAAGCAAGCTGTGTAAGCCTGTGCTATATAGCCTGGGTTAAATCAAGCAAGAAGAAACAGTTATCTGAGTTAGAAACTGTGCATTCATTTACTAAATTGTGATTTTGGTAAATCTCATTATATAAACCCATTTATCTGCTCATCCTTTCCATTTTTGCACTCTGTGTACTTGTAACTAATTTTATTGAGAGTAAGGAAAACAATCATTCCTTTCATGAGCAATCAAAATGACTGAATCTTTGGAGTTAAATTTGGTCACTGATGATAATACCTTGGAACTTTAACGTTTTCTTTAAAATTACATTAAGTTCTATTTGTATAATGTAGTTTGAACCAATAATTTGTAAAATAGATTCTTTTAGCTTTACTTTCAATTAGTTAAGCAATTAAATTACAAGTGTACAATTGTAGTTCCTAGTGAATCAGAAATATATGTATATATATATTTTAAAGATTTATTTTATTTATTTATGTGTACAAGAACTGAGGTCTCAGCCAGAGGTAGTGGGGGAGGGGCGGTGAGAGGATTCACCAGAGACAGAGTGGGGAGAAGAACAAGCAGGTTAACTGAAATATACTGCGGAGGGGAGCAGCGGGTGAGACAGGAGAGATCTGCTGCACCATGTGGGTTTGCTCCCTGGCTGGTGGTCGATCTCATGAGCTCATGCCCACTGTAGTGGGTGATGATAGCTTGATAGCCCTGAGACTTTAACCCCTGTGCCACCAGGGAGGCCCTGTACTGTGGAAGATTTGAAACATTTACAAAGGTAGGGAGATTATAATAACCAATTCCCATGTATTCATGATCCTGCCTTAAAAATTACCCAAATAACTGTCTTGTTTTGGATCACTTCCCATTCCCTCTCTACCCCTCAGTATAAATTGTCATGTCATTTCATCTCTGAATGTCTATACTATGCATTTCTTACTATGCATTTTTGAGAGACAAACACTCTTAAAATTATATAATCACAATGCCATTATTATAGTTATGAAAATGAATTCGTTAGTATCATCTAATATCAGATCTTTGTTCCTTCAGTGCTTTATACAGGTCTTTTTACAGGTAGTTTGTCTGAGTATCCAATCAAGATTCACACTTTGTATTTGGTTGCTCTTCCTCAAGTTTCTCTCTTTCTTTTTTGTGGTAAACATTAAATTGAAGAATATTGTATAAAATTACATCAATCATAAGTATACAGCTTGAGGAGTTTTTACATGCTGACCACTTTTGCTTAATAGCACCAAAAAAATAAAAAGAAACAGAACATCACTGGTTCCCCACAAGTTCCATTCATTCTTTCTTCCAGTTACTTCTCCCATCCTTGACTTATACAACACCTTAAATTAGTTTTGTTATTATCAAAATGGAATCCTATAGTGTGTATTCTTTTATCTTGCTTAATTCATTCAGTATGTTTCAAAGATTCATCTGTGATGTTTCATGAACTACACGTTTCAGTAGTTCTTTCTTTTTTTTTACTGCTGTGTGATACTCTGAATATTGTTTATGCAGTTTATCCATTAATGCTTGATGGATATTTAGATTATTTGCAATTTTCTTGCTATTACATATTGTGCTGCTGTGAACTTTCTTTTGGTTGTCTTTTAGTGAATTCAAAGCCTTCAAAAAACTTTAACAGTTACATTATTGTTTTTTTTTTCTAGTGTTTTTTTTTTTTTTTTTTTTTTTATAGAGGCATGTTTTTATTTATTTATTTATTATATTTGTTTGTCTTGTTTATACATGCACTGGGTACAGTCAGAAGCGCGGGAGGGTGAGAGAATTCACCAGAGCCAGAGCGGGGAGCAGAGCAGGCAGAAGGGCTGAAGTACACTGCTGAGGGGAGCAGCGGGTGGCAGGAGAGGTCTGCGCACCATGTGGGATCCTCCTCCGGTGGCCGGGGAGCAGCCGGGATCGAACCGGCGCCGCAGAGGCCGCGGGCAGCTTCGCAACCCAGCGCTCAACCGCTGCGCCACGGGGAGGCCCAACAGTTACATTATTGTTATTCTTTTGTCTTGCCATTTACTTGTTGAAGAAATTGAGTCATAATTTCTGTAGAAAGATTCTGAAGTTTTTCACAGCATGGTTGTAACAGTGGTTGTTTTATTTGTTAATATACAACCTTGAGGGCCTCCCTGGTGGCGCAGCGGTTGAGCGCTGGGTTGCGAAGCTGCCTGCAGCCTCTGCAGCACCGGTTCGATCCCTGGCTGCTCCCCGGCCACCAAAGGAGGGTCCCACATGGCGCGCAGACCTCTCCTGCCGCAGACCTCTCCTGCCGCCCGCTGCTCCCTTAGCAGTGTACTTCGGTCCTTCTGCCCGCTCTGCTCCCCACTCTGGCTCTGGTGAATTCTCTCACCCTCCCGCATTTCTGACTATACCCAGTGCTTGTATAAATAAATAAAAATAAATCTTTAAAAAAAAAAATACAACCTTGAGTTCAAATTATTCTGTCATCTCAAAAATTATTAAGTAAATGATTTAAATAATTTTGAGTGATATTTTTCTCTGCAAAATCTTACCATAGTATCTGACTTTAACAGCATGTTACTTTTATAATAGTAAATAATAAACATTTTAGAAAAACTTATTTTATATTAGTAACATGTTAGTAGTTTTGATTACTTGCTTTTGGTTTACTTTTTATGTTATAGCTGTATTATGTGTATTATGTGTTTTAAGTGAAAGTAAATAATAATGATCTTTTGTATATTCCCTTTAATAGATTTGAAATCAATGTGCTGTCAAAATTTTCCTCTTGCCTAGCAGACCAGCATTTATATTTTAGTCCATTAATGGGGAAAATAGCTGATATTGTACATAAGAACTTGGAAACCATACAGGATCTAAGGTAAATTTGTTTAGAGGCCTTGTATTTTGGTGGATGGATTCTGAGTTTTAAATATACAAACACTTCATTTTGCCACTTCCTTGCTATGTGACTTTAATCTCTTGGAGGTTTGATATATTCATCTATTAAACGTAGATAGTTGTATCCAGTTGACAATGTTATATGAATTTGAGATAAAATTTATAAAATATAAATATTTTTGAGATCTATGAAAGTTTTGAGATTTTACTTTATTTGGAAGCTAACAAGTTTACCTGCCACCCTTTGGCCTTACTTAACTTTAATTACATCCTGAAAGGTCCTATCTTTAAATATAGTCACATTAATCACAAGGACTTTAATATATGAATGGGGGTGGGTGCACAATTCAATCTATAATATATACTTATGTTCATAGCAGCATTAGTTACTGTATCTAAAAGGTGGAATAAATCTAAATATCTATCAACAGATGAATAAACAATCTAAATGTGGTGTATTCCTACAATGGAATATTATTCAGCCTTAAAAAAGGGAGCAATAATTACATCATGGGTGAATCTTGTAGACATTATGCTATATGAAATAAGTCAGGCACAAGAGGACAGTATTGCATGATTCCACATACATGAGGTCTACTTGTTTAGAAACAAGTAGAATGGTTATTGCAGGGAATTAAGGGAAGGAGGAATGAGGAGGTATTGTTTAGTGGGTAAGGAATTTTAGTTTGAGGAGATGAAAAGGTTTTGCAGATGAATTATGGTGATGATTTCACAACAGTATAAATGTGCTTAATACTTCTGAGCTCTCACTTAACACTTAAAAATGTTTAATGGTTAATTCTATGTTATGAATATTTTCACACATGCATGAAAAATCACTAGAAAGTAATTTTTTAAAACTTTAAAAAATTCTTATAGACCCTTTTGAGAATTTATTGAAATCACTGTAAATTTCCCCTCTCCAAAATGCAATTAAAATATATACATAATTTAAAAAAGGATTTCAGGGGTTTTGTGGTTAAACTGAATAGCAATATTAGGTTACTAATTAATGTTGATTACTATTAACTTTAAAAATTTTGGATAGTCTGCAGTACTGTACAACTAGGTTTTAAAAAAATATGTATTTCATTGAAAAAATTGAAGAAATTTGGAAACAAAATAATGCAAACAGCCACACTATCTTAGTGGTTGAGATTGTTTTAGATTTCTATTTCTATGACTTTTTCATGGATTGTTTTCTAATTCTTATCCCCAGTGTTTGTTATATGTGATTTCCATTTTGCATAGCTTATTCATTATAGGTACAGTCTTATATTTGTAGTTTTCTAAATTTTATAATATGTAAGAACTGTCTTTTGAAAGCAAGGTCTTCACCTGGTAGTTCTGGTGTCTTCTATAATGACTGGAAGAGTGATTTATGTTCTTTAAAAGTATTTATTGAGAGGAAAAATATTGAATAATGCCATCTCATGCTCAATATTATCTTACTGTTGTATATTAAAATTAATCTAGTATGAAACATAAAATTTGAAATCAGAGTAACAAATAAAAAAGTCTATTTACAAAAATAAGACTTAATTTTGAGTTATTTTTGTTTTTGTTAGTGCAAAGTGATTTGAGTTAATTTCACTAAAATATTTTACTTCAAAGTAGTTATCTATAGAATAAGGTATTATACCACTCAATAAGAAATATTGTTCAATGTTTCTTTGTCTGAAGAGATTCAATTACTAGGATGTTCAAGTCCCTCTAATATTTAAAAGAAAAATTTTGTGATATAAAACCTACAATATTTTTACTGGCTTCTTTCTATATCTAATCATTTGTTCTTCATTCTTATTTTATATTATTAAATATAAAAAATCCTTGCATCTTTTTTCTTTTTCAGGTCTTTGTCTGTTTTGATGGTCAACATATCTTCTTTAATATCACAGTGTTTTCAAGAGCAATTAGTGAACAAAACAGAACTTCTTTTTGACACCATAGATTCTTCCCATGTCAACATTGCAAGAAGAATAGTACAGTTTCTTCGAAATATTAAATATGGTTACTATCCATTATTAGAAAGGTGCAATAAAGTGTTTTTAAGCAATGCAAACCACCTTGATTTGGAATCCATCAGTAAAATACTTAGTTTATATAATTCTCTACAGTTTCATAGTTTTGAATTTTTTGTAGTGGCTAAAAAGAGGTTAACTGAAATGATTCCTCTGTTTGATCAACCTGCTAGCTTTGTAAAGTTGTTTGTAGCATTGGGACCCATAGCAGGACCTGAAGAAAAAAAACAGTAAGTTCAGCTAAAAATGCTTTACCTTTCTTTCAGAAAATATATGGAGCCTTCAAGCTTAGATCTCCTTGCAGTTCTAGGAGGCACAAAAATCACCTTATTCAACCATGGAAGGGAAAATAATCTCTAATGCTGTGTGCCTTGATTCATTCTCTGAATTATTATGATTTGTATATATCACACTGTTAGTCTAATGCTGTGTTTTGAGGGCACTAGTAACCCCCAGGTGGTGGCTAGCACAACAAAAGATGAGCAAGAAGACCATTTAAGTGTGTTTATTCTCCCTTTCTAGAACATGTAACTGACCTTACAGGCATAAGAACCCCCCAACTCCAATATAGGTTGTGGAGTAATCAAAATTATAGTAGTTTCCTAACAGTGGACCATATTATGCTTTGTGCTCTTCACATTCATCATGCAAAGCATTTATTATGCACACTGGTAGATAACTCTTATGCTTAGATAGAAATATTTGGAATATAAAGGTAAGCAAATACTAAATACATGATTACTAAGTATGAACAAACAGATTAGATTCAGTTAGGCAAGGGTTTCAGGAGTTGCATACTAGAGGTATCTTCACCATTACTGTTAATGAAAACTTCATGGAGAATTTTATTTTAGAGTCATTTGAATTATATGGAGAAATTTAAGGGTACATTTTGAGAAACTATTGAAATGATTATTAAAAAAAACTTTTACTGGAAACTTTTTGGTTGCCAAATACTGTTAAAATCTCAATGCTAAAGCAACACAAAGTTGAATTTAACTGGGTGCACGCCTTCAAGGAATTTATATTCCATGTCAGAGGATAAAAATATATAATTAAAATTTGTAAATAGCATGATGCTGCAATATTGTTTATGTTAAGTACTCAAATTAGTGATATAGAGTGTTCTGGGCAGATAGAAAACTGAGAAAAATGTGGACTAAAGTGGTTGGGGAAAACTTTGGGGAAAAGCTGGATTTGAAATATTTAGTGAGGTTGGTGGAAAAAACAGTGTGGACTTATCTAGTGTGAATAGAAAATTAATTTGTCCTGTTATCAAATTTCATGTTTTGGGTTTATGTTCTAAATTTTTCTAAAAGGCACATTTATATTTGGATTTTTTATTATTGTACCACTGTGGATGGTTTAAAAATGAACCATTTTAAAATTTTTCAGTTTACAGTATTATAGCAAATACTTAGTATATAAGATTGCTCTTCATATGTGTACGTATTGACTTCCTGGTCACATTCACTTTTTAAAAGTTGGGATTTTGTTAGACTATTGATTGTTCTTTAACTAAAATACTGAATAATTTCACTGAATTTTTTGATAACCATTATAACTTTGGCCTATTTGAAGATCAATTAAAAATCCTTTTGTTTATATTTTTCAAGAGACAGGGCCTCCCCGGTGGCTCAGCGGTTGAGCGCTGGGTTGCGAAGCTGCCCGCGGCCTCTGCAGCACCGGTTCGATCCCCGGCTGCTCCCCGGCCACCGGAGGAGGGTCCCACATGGCGCGCAGACCTCTCCTGCCGCCCGCTGCTCCTCTCAGCAGTGTACTTCGGTCCTTCTGCCTGCTCTGCTCCCCGCTCTGGCTCTGGTGAATTCTCTCACCCTCCTGCGCTTCTGACTGTACCCAGTGCATGTATAAACAAAACAAACAAACAAATAAATAAATAAATAAAACATGCCTCTAAATTAAAAAAAAAAAAAAAAAGAGACAGTTTAAGGTTAGATTATATTGAGGCTTTAATTAAAAATTATATTTTCTTTATTCAATAATATGTTGTTCCCAATTATAGGGGGAGAAAATTAGAATTATAATCAACTTCAGGTTCTTATTATTTTTCTATCTGTGATCTAAGAATTATCATTTAAATAACATTTAAAAATCTATTTTTAAAAGATTTATTTATTTATGCACACAAGAATGGGGGTGTAGACCAGAAGTGTGGGGTGTGAGAGGATTCACCAGAGACAGAGAGGGGAGCAGAATAGGCAGATCTACTGAGGGGATCTGCTGAGGGGATCAGCTGGAGAGGCAGGAGAGGTTTTCTGTGCCATGTGGGTTAGTTCCCTGGCCTGTGATGGAACTCTTGCTCCAGTGGCTAGCAATAGCTTGATAGTGCTGAGACTTAAACTCTTGCACTACAGGGAGGTCCTAAAAATATTTTCTTATAAGCTGATCATTAGATTTTCTACATAAAAATATTTTTTCTTTACTTCTAGACTTAAATCAACCTTGTTACTGATATCAGAAGAACTGACCAGCCAACAAGCCCTTGCTGTGATTGGGGCAATGGAAGAGATGGAGAGCAGAAATGCGCGTCTGATTAAAAAGTAGTCTTTCCTGAAATTCATGGTGTTAAGTTTAATTGTCATTAATAAGTGCCTATATTTTTGAAAGAAAAATAAGTTTTTTTCCCATGATCCAACCGTTGGTTGTGAAGAAATAAGGAATTAACAAAGTATTTTTATTTTCTAAGTAGTTTGTTTTTCAAAATAGAGATTTTAAAATTAGATATAGCATTTTTCATATCTTTTGTTATTGTTGATATTCTCAAATAGATCACCATAATCTAGTAAAGTGGAGAGCATAGAACAGGACCTGATTTTCCAAAAGGACAGTTTCTACATAATAGTTAATCTCTATGTGGGCTTGAATTGTTTCACACCACATTCAGTATTAAAGTCATATGGATCATATATTAACCTTTTTGTTAACTTGAGGTTAAAGAAGAAAAAAAATACATGGTTTAGATTTTATATACTTTATTTTTCATTATTGTATACTCCTTTAAAAAATATTTCTTCTGCCCCCTTTCCTCCAACTTACAGCCTCTTAGCATTTCCCATTGTTGTTAAGCATTTTCATTAGGTCAGTAGATTTAAGAAAGAAAATTAAATAATTTTACAAATTTTAATTACTCTTGGTAACAAAATTTTTGTGGGGGCATGGATATAGAATTTGATGACTTCAGTTTTTTCAATTTAGGAAGTAGAACTATACTTTTTTTTCTCTTACTATTGATAATTCATTATTATTTCTTTCACACTTTGTTGATAGCTCTTACCTTATTTTATTTTAATTTATATTCCTGGCACAATCTTCTATTTTTGGAGTGGAAAACCATGTCTCATTCACTGCTATTTCTCCAGCACGGACATGAAAGAGCTCATCAATGAATGTTTAATAAATATATTTTTCATCATTCTTTTTAGAATTGCTTCAATTCTGCATAAACATTTGGATAACTATAAACCAAAAGAGTTGCTGAAGATAACTCGAGCATTGATTTTTCTACATTTTCAAAGTAAAGAATTTTTTGTGAGACTCAGAGAATTACTGCTTAGGTAAGATTTAAGTAGAAATGTCTGTTTAATCTTTCATTTTATAATCTAGCCTCAATTATTTCATTTGTGTTTAAAGTTGGAATTTTTGGAGACAGAATTGGGTAGCTCATTGTTAAAAGTGTTAAGATACTTATCTCTCTTATGCTCATTCTGCTAATATTCATGATTGGTGTATTTTGAAATGGAAATAAGGCCAGTAGGGGTGATTAGATCCTTAGGAAATGAATAAAAGCCAAACCACTTTCCTTTCCATCAAGAGTAGTTAAAAATAATTTTTGTTATAATAAAGTGATATGCCTTTATAGTTAAGAGGTGTTTGAGCTGAGAAACAAGAGGTGGCATTTTATTGAGTGAGAGCTTATTAGTGTGTTAAAAGAATGTATATCTTTTTCTTAAACAAAGAAACTTATTAGTTGATTCATCACATGCATACTTAATGTTCCTTCATCCATTCAGTATTTAACACAGACGTTCACATAACTTCCTAATGAATACTCATATGTTCTAAATGAGATATCACAAACTGACCCAGAGATATAATTATTTAGTCATTAGTTATTTAGCATTTTTTTTCAAAATTAAAACGTTTACCTGTAGATGTGTTGACAGAAGAGTAAGAGCAGAATTGGGAGCATCAAAAGGGATTTCTCTTTACCTGTAATGTTTTATTTCCTTTATAAAATGACTTTAATATGACAGGTTTAAAGTTTAGTAATTTTATAAAACTAAAGCTTAATAATTTTGTCTAGTAACAGCCCCTTACATATTATATACATTTTAAAGTTTAAATATAAAGTTTAAAATTATATCAGAAATTTAATTGGGAAGATGTTATGCAAAAACGTAGGTGCTCATGCTTAAAAATTATTTACCTTCCGTCACTTCTGTGCAGTTAATGTAAATGTTAGAAGGAACACAATCTAATTAAAGCAGTTTACATAAATATTTATATAAACAGATCCGAAACCATGCTGGGAACTCAGGGAGTTCTTGTACTGGAATAAGGGTTTTTGTTTTTAACATTGAAATAAAATCTACAGGGCCTCCCCGGTGGCGCAGCGGTTGAGCGCTGGGTTGCGAAGCTGCCACAGCCTCTGCATCCCCGGCTGCTCCCCGGCCACCGGAGGAGGGTCCCACAGGGCGCGCAGACCTCTCCTGCCGCCCCCTGCTCCCCTCAGCAGTGTACTTCGGTCCTTCTGCCTGCTCTGCTCCCCGCTCTGGCTCTGGTGAATTCTTTCACCCTCCCGCGCTTCTGACTGTACCCAGTGCATGTATAAATAAATAAATAATAAATCTTAAAAAAAAAAAAGAAATAAAATCTACATAAAATACTTATATCCTCCCTTCTCCCCAACTATTTTCTGTCTGTGAATGTGTGGCTTAGTTTTGTCTTTACCCATGTTTTTGCTGTGTGATATTTTCTTGTAAGACTAGAGTAAATTTTTTGGTGAATTTTTTCTACTGTTGATGGATATTTTATTTACTTCTAAATTTTTGGCTACTATGAATAGTAGTATGCTTATTTTTTAGTAAACATGTTTGCATTTTTGTAAATATTTACCAAGGAATATGATTGCTAGTTTATAGGTTATAAATACGTTACTCTTCAATAGATCCTATTAACCAGCTTTGGAAAATGACCATAACAGTTTATATTACACCAGTGCAAGGTGAGCATTCCTGCTGCTCCATATCCTCACTAATGCTTGGTATTTTTTTATTTTTTAGTTTCAGCCATGCTGGTGGGTATATGGTGGTCATGCAGAATTTAAGTTTTCAGATTTGAATAAGTTTCACAAGGAAAAGCATCAAGTGAAGTTGGAGAGATTATATCTGATGAAGGTTTATTTTTAGACAAGTATCACAAGATTGGCAAATATGGGGGCTTGCTTTTCTGTATATAAAATACTATATTGCTACTACTTATTGAATGCCTATGTTGTGTTGGGCGCTAGGCCAAATATTACATATAAATCATTTTGAAAATTTTGGAAAATATAAGAAGAAAATACAAAAAAGTAGAAAGAAGAAACTAAAAATCATTCTTAAACAAATTCATCCACTGTCAACAACTTGTTTTATTTCCTTATGGTATATTCTCCCTCCCTCCCTCTCTCTCTCTCTCTCTCTCTCTCTCTCTCTCTCTCTCTCTCACACACACACACACACACACACACCACACACACACATTTCTTGATTCATAGTTGTGAATCATGAACACACCTTTTATATCCCTCTTAACCTTATCATTATTTTCCCAAATTATTTAGAACTATTTATAAATCTTTTTTTTTAAAGATTTATTCATTTGTTTGTTTGTTTATTTATTTATTTATTTATGCAAGCACTGGGTACAGTCAGAAGCGCCGGAGGGTGAGAGAATTCACCAGAGCCAGAGTGGAGAGCAGAACAGGCAGAGTCATGAAATACATGCTGAGGGGAGCAGCGGGCGGCAGGAGAGGTCTGCGCTTCATGCGGGACCCTCCTCTGGTGGCTGGGGAGCAGCCAGGGATCGAACCGGAGCTGCAGAGGCTGTGGGCAGCTTCGCAACCCAGCGCTCAACCGCTGCGCCACCAGGGAGGCCCTATTTATAAATCTTTTTAATGACTGGTTATCATCCATCATATGACTGTACCACGACTCACTTAACTATTCTCTAATTGGGTATTTCTAGTGTTTTCAAATTTCAGCCACATAAAAAATATAATAAATAACACAATATTTTGCCCATATATTTTCTTAGACTGGTTTCCCAGAACAAGGATTAACCATATCAAATGACAGAATTACTTTTAAAGTTCTTGAATCATACTGCTAAATTACTTTCTAGAAAGGTTACTCCAACTTTCAAAGTTTACTAATTTGTGAATGAGAATACCTGTACCAATTCATCCTTATTAATATTGACTATCATATTTTAATATGCTAATTAAAAAATTTAACATTTTTAAAAATAACTGAACTTTGTTTGAATTTAGATTGTATAATGCTGAGACTTAGACCCTTGTGCCCCAGGAGGTCCTGCTTTGGAATATCTTAAGGCTTCCCTTATAAACCCTTAATAGACTAGTCATCTTTGAATTTATCTAACCCTTCTTAACTGGTATTTTAAGCCTGTGGTACCTACTAATTATAATTATTTTTTGTATTTATATATATATATATATAGGTTTTTATTGATGATATAGTGATTTTGTTCATTTCATTTCTCTCCTCTTTTCTCATAGTTATTTGAAAATCAGCATCATACCTGGTGAGATTTCCGTCTTAGTCTGTGCTATTTCCATGCTGACTCCTCCTCACCTGGATCAAACTGGGTTATCACAAATTGAAGCTGTTTTACCACAGTGTGACCTAAATGACATGAATGTACTTGCCACATCTGTTTTAAGATGTATTCAGTATGATCACATGTGTCTGGATAATATTACAGGGAAGCAATTGAAACTACTTCAAAAATTAGATCACTATGGCCATCAGAGACTAAGAAAATGTAACAATTTGAATTTGTTATGGGAAGAACTTAAAACTTTAACAAAAGGAGACTGGTTTGCTGAGTCACTTCTTGAAGAAACAGTTACTGCTTTACAGAGTATGATGGATGAAATTGATTACAAAAATGTTGTTGGGATTGCATCTTTTATTTCTAGAACAAACTACCTCAGTCCTCTCCTACTTGATAGGATAACCTCAGTAGTCATTGAGCATATTGAAAAGGTAAAGTGGAAATGGCACACAGTAGTTTTAGATAGTTGTCAACTCCTAAAGGAACACATTTGTTAAAAGTACTTTGAGAACTTAATTAGAATTTAAAGTTTAAAAATTAAACTCTACTTTCTGGTTCAGCAATTTGTTACTCCTCCACTTAATGCCTCTTCCTTTAGTGATGTAGATTTGGAGAGATTAGCAGTCATACTTTGGTTCATTTACACTGTTAAGACCACTAGTCGAAATTCATTGACTAGAAGGAAATACTTAAAACAATACTAGTTATATTAGGATTATAGGTTGTGAATGATTTTTGTTTTTCCCTTTTCTTAGTTTCTATAATTATGTGATACTTTTACTATTTAAAAACAACTGCATTCAAAAGTATGAGTTAAGTGTGAAAATGGAGAAAATGACAAGGTATCTATCCAGTGACTTAAGTATTCTTAAATTTTCAGCGTGTCTTCTTATGAATTTATTTCTGCAATGAAAAATGCTGCCTCTTGGATTATGTGAGAAGATGCTCACAAAATGTATTGTATATCTCAGAATAAGGCTTTTAGTTAGAGGACAATATTTCGCACAAACAAAAATAGAAGTATTTTTCGGTTAACATGGTGACTGGCATGTTAAGTATTAGATAAATTAGATAAAAGGTGGATGAATGAAGAAAAATACATTTTGTTGACTACAAACTAAGATTCTTATGGGACTATGAAATGCAGAAATAAGTGATACTAATACCTATTCATTTTAATGACTAATGAATTCTGGAACAGGATTTTATATCTAACAATTAATTTGTAGATTATCTGATTTATTTTTTCTCTATCACATAAAGATACTAGAAATTAGTGGTGGGGCTAAGTAGAGAAAGATGGTGGAAAAATTCATCAGTAACAGAGTGATGCATTTATAATTTAACCATAGGCATAGTCTATCTATAGACATGTTAAGAGAAATGTTTCTATCTAAAATAATAATTAGGTTAAAATAGGGGAATTTTAAATATAACATTGTCTGTTTATGCAGATCCATCCTTTCGCAATCCTTGCTGTTATTCTTCCATTCAGCACCTTGAACTATGATCCACCTCAAAGGGATGAATTTTTTGGAACTTGCATTCACCACATTAATTCTTATTTAAGTAGGTATATTGTTTCATAATACATTGCTCTGCCAAAAGATATTCCTTATTTATTTATTTATTTTTAAGAATGCTGTACTTTAAAAAAAAGATTTATTTTTATTTGTTTATGCATACAAGAACTGGGGTGTAGGTCAGAGGTGCAGGGTGGGGGTGATGTGAGAGTAGGGTACAGAACAGGCAGATTGACTGAAATACACTGCTGAGGGGAGCAGCGGGTGAGTCAAGAGAGGTCTACTGTGCCATGTGGGTAGCTCCCTGGCCAGGGATCAAACTTGTGCTGCAGTGGCTGCAGACGGCTCCATAGGTTGGTTCTTAACTCCTTGCGCCACCAGGGAAGCCCCTCTAAGTGTTTTCTAGAACAAGGTCTATGTGCTAATTTCTTGAAGATAGACTGATACTTGAAGCATAGAAAAAATGCACCTAATAAACATAGAGCCAATTTTTCCAATTTTTTGTCTTTTGTCAGACTACTGCTGTCTATAGGGCATTTTAGATGATCCCTTTCCTCCATTACAAATGCCTCTTAGATGAGGCAAGTCTGCTAAATAACCTCAAGCCTTATGCTCTGGGACATGGGTCATGCTGCTGGGTGACAGGTAAGGGAAGAGGTGCCAGGTGAAATCTGAGCTTCATACGTGTATACAGCTCAGCCTAGTGAACTGTCTGAGATCCCTAGAGAGCAGTGCTATGTAGTGATCCAGGCTCTGGAGCTGGAGTTAGGTTGTTTCACCCTCCATTTGCTAACAGTGTGACTTTAGGCAAGTCATTTAATTTCTCTACTTCTACATTTATGAAGTGAAGATAATAGTTCTACTGTATACTAGATTAAGATATAAATAAGTTCATACATGTAAAATGCTTATGATAGCTAACACTATTATTACCAGCAACCCATAGATTAATATATAAATAAGTTCATACATGTAAGGTGCTTATGATAGCTAACACTGTTATTATCAGCAACACAAAGACCACAATTATATGCCCTTTTTACATAGACTATTGACCTTCCATTTTGAATTCATTCCTTTTCAAGGTAATATTAAAAATCTTTCTGGAAGTATAATAATACAGAAATATATAGTATGAGTTTATACAAATTAAATCACTCAAGGGATCAGAACCCAGACCAAGAAACAATATTATCCTTCTCCCCTGTCCATCTTTTCCATCCTAACCCTCCACCCCCCGCAGGTAACTACCAGTATAATTTAGTTTGGTTAAGGATGTATATGCACTGTTTTTTAAACCTAGTTTTACCTTAATAAAGTATGTGCTTATATTGATGTGAAATAGGTATGTATACATTATAATAAAAAAAAATCTTAATTTGTTTTAGGTAAATTAGATCCCCTCATGTTAGTGTTTCTTGGTTTCTCGTTGGCCACACTTGAATATTTTCCAGAAGCTCTACTAAAGTCAATTTTTAACATCAAATTCTTAGCCAAATTGGATTCTCAACTTGAACGTATGTATCTACATTAATTTATTAAATTATTACTTGTATTTCATATACGAGTTTCAGCTATACCTAGATTGAAGTTTTTAATTGGTAACAATGTTTATAGAAATTTTTCTTGGAAAACACAGAAAAACATAAAGTAGAAAACAAAAGAGTACTTATAATCTTACCACCAAAAGAAACTACCACTTTTAGTGTTTTGGACTATTTGATTTTTTTCTGTATCTCTCGTACTCTTATGTGTATGTTTATATATCTGTATTTTAAAACTAAATTTGAATAATATATTGTGTTGTCTTTTGTGTTTAAACAATTTTCTATCCCATTAAATATTTTAATATTTTTGATCATGATTTTTTTAGTGTCTACAAAATTTATTTATCTTGTAGATTATTTCCAATTTTTCATTATTATAAATAATGATTATTATATGGGGATCGTTGACCTCATCTTTGTTTTCTTAGAATAGATTCCTAAGTGAAAATTCTTTGGTATAATTTTAAAAAATGTAGTTTTAACATTTATAATTAGTGAAAACAACATAGGAGTTGTTCCTAATCGTGTAATAATTTAAATGTAATAATTTAAAAATGTTAAAGCATCTGTGTGTAAATGGAAGTGCTTTATTATGTGAGAATGAAAATAGCAACCAACAATAAGGAGAAATGAATGTGAAAAATTGGATTGTCTTTGCTAAGCCCAAGCTATTAAGATCTATTAATATTTTATTTTTGATTTCAGTTTTATGTTCATCTCTAAGTATGAGGGTCCAGTTTCGTCTTATGGAATTAAATAGAGCAGTCTACTTGGAATGCCCTGAGTATCAGATTCCATGGTTTCATGACCGCTTTTGTCAACAACAGTTTAAGAAAGGTTTGAGTTTTCTTTGGGTGGGATAGTGAAATTTAATTCTATCAATAAAGTAAATTTTTAGGTAGTACATTGCCATGACATGAGAGTTTCCAATGATCTATTTAATGGAACCATTTTGTAGCTGTAACATTTGAATTATGAGAATTTCTTAATATTTAAGACATGAAACACCTTTGAGTAGAGAGCAAATGCCTTGTACTGAATTTAGTGTTTTGTATATTGTAGTATAATGAAGCTCTTGTTTGGAAATATTTTTATTTTTCAGTTTATAAAGTTGGGATGGGGCCTCCCCTGGTGGTGCAGTGGTTGAGTGCTGGGCTGAGAGGCTGCCCGCAGCCTCTGTAGCACCAGCTTGTACCCCGGCCGCCGGCAAGGGTCCCCCACAAAAAAAAAAAAAGTTGGTATGGTTTTCACTCAAAACATTATTTTAAGTGAACTAATTATTTTATCTTCATAAAGATACTGGCAGCATGAATGGAGCACAACAGCAGATATATAAAATGTTAGCAGAGCTCCTAGGAGGAATCAATTATGTAAAAGCCTCAGTTCTTACACCTTATTACCACACAGTAGGTAAGTTTTTGGTAGGTTATTAGTTACTCTTAGAAGATCAGTAATTTAAATAGAATCATCTCATTAATTCATTCATTTTTTTATGTTGTTGTTTAAATATTTTTATAATTATATTTATTATAGAAAGATTTCAAACATATAAAAAAATGGAGAGAATAATATCTCATCCAGCATCAATAGCTGTTAATATCATTCACTAGGGTCCCAACTGATTCTTCTGAAGCAAATCACAGACTAATATCATTTCAGAATGTGGGGCCTCCCCAGTGGCACAGCGGGTTGAGCACCCATGCTGTAAAGCTGTCTGCAGACTCTGCAGCGCAGGTTCGATTCCTGGCCAGCCAGGGAGATACCCACATGGTGCTGCAGACCTCTCCTGCTTCGCCACTGCTCCCCTCAGCAGTGTCATTGGTCCGTCTGCCTGTTCTGCCCTCTGTTCTTTCTCTGGTGAATTCTCTCACCCTCCTGCGCCTCTGGCCTGTGCCCCAGTTCTTGTATAAAAATAAATAAATCTTTTAAAAATATATCATTTCAGAATGTATATCTAAAAGGATGACTTTTAAAAAAATATAACTACCATACCATCGCTATACCCCACAGCCATTCATGTTAATTACTTAGTGTCACATAGCTTGTCATTGCTCAAATGTCTGTTTTCTTTTATATATTTTACTTTACAGTTTGTTAAAATTGGGATTCAAACATTGTATTTGTTTGATTTGGTTTTTTTGAAGTTCAACCTTTTTTTTCACAATTTATGAAAAAATATTTGTTTTTACATTCTGGACTTTTCCAATTGCTACATTTAACATTTAACCTGCTCCTGTATCCCATTTTTCCTGTAAACCAATAGCTCTCAAGCTTATTCCATTTACATTAGGTTTTGGGGTGTTTTTTTGTCAGGCTCTTTTATAGGTGGTGTGCTCTTAGCGCATCACATCAGAAGACACACAGTGCTGGTTGTCTTCTTTTCACATTAAGATTCATCTGTGGGTTTATAAGTTGTCAGTTCATCCGGTCAAATTCAACTACTGAATTTATCAGCCTTTAAAATCATTGCCAAAACCTATCATTCATTAGCGGTAACAAAGTAGTGATAGACTGTCATTCCTTTTGCATTTATTAGCTGGAATTTGTCTAAAAAGAACTTTCCCATATTATTTACACTTAAGTACACTTCATGTAGGAAAGACAGGATACATCCTTGAATTTTTGTTTTTAATAGTTTTCAGAGGTGATTAAAACTCTTTAATGTGATTTGGCCTAGGCCAATGCTAAATACATTTCCATGTTAAGTATAGTTTAATAATACTTACTGGTTGATTTTTATTGATTGATTTTCAAAGAGAGATACATTGGACTAGATCTTACAAATTAAGTTGGATAATCAGGGAAGTACATCATGCTTTCATGCATGTATGTATCCATATATGTGCATTTGCATGTTTATTTGGAGTATAAAACTTTTACCTGTAAGAATTTACTTAATTCATACTGTTGTCTCCTGTTCTTGTATATAGATTTTGAGTGTATCTTGGATAAAAGAAAAAAACCTCTTCCTTATGGGAACCATAATATAACTTTGGGAAAACTGCCAGAAATGCACTGGGAGTCAAATATCCTAATAGATGGATCAAGGCTGCCACCAGGAGCTGAAAGGTAACTTATTTCTTAGTTAGCAAAGGTGGAGTGCAGTTGAATCTGTTTCTCATCTATCTCATGCATTCTTCTGTTGTACCTGTGCTTTTCTGTGTCATCTGCCTTAATGTCTGTCCTTCATTGTCTCAAACCTAGCATTGTGTCAAACTAAAGTGCTAACTTTCCATTTGCCTCAGTGGAAGTAAATAGTATCTTTTTCAGAGCCCCCATACCTCTCTACTTTCCTGATAGCACTCAGCTACTTCTTATGCAGTGTTACAATTACTTACTCTCTAGCTTATGTTCTCTGTTAGAATATAAGCTGTTACTTTATATTTTGTGTCCTTTACAGTGCCCTACATGTGGTGGGTACATAGTTAATATATAGTAGACAAACAAATGGATGAAAACATAGAAATGTAATTTTACACAATTTGATGTAATTCTAGTAATGAATAGTCTTGTCATCACATACTAATTTAAGTAGAAAAATAACTTGTCATACTCATTTATATATGTTTGACTTTTGTTAGTTTATAAAGTTATGCAACCTTGTTCTTGAAAGTCTTATAATTATTCAGTTGCTCATTTTGAGTTCAGATGTAAGTACTATTTATTTTTTTATCTTATGTAGAATTGCTTTGGAATTTTTGGATTCAAGAGCTTTTTGTAGAAACATACCTCACTTAAAAGGAAAATCTGCTATGAAAAAACGACATTTGGAAATTTTGGGCTATCATGTAATTCAGGTATGAAATACTCATGTAATTTACCCTCTAAAAAACCCAGAAACACTGGCTTTATGTGTTTCCTTTTAATGGGAAAGTTCTAGAAATATCTTCTTACTATTAAAAAAGTGATATTAAAATATCTCTGAAAAAAGAATATCCTCCATTTCTGGGGAAGAGTAGCAAACAAAAACTATCACTTCTTTTATTGTTTCTAGAGGATCTGTTGTTTATTTTACAAGAAAGAGGCACTGTGAAGATGGATAAAGTTCTAAGAGAAAAAGGTAGTTTACGAATGTAGGAAAGGTACATAGCAAAAAAAAAAAAAAAAAAAAAGTGTCATAAGTACTATAGACCTAGGCGGATAAAAGGAATTATGTGTCCAAAAAAGGTCTAGGCTTTCTCAGGAAGAAGAGATTTATTTGGCTTCTGTAATGGGTTAAAAAACTATGCTATGTAAACTGACTTCATAAGGTTCCTTTAGCTCTGCTTAATAGTGCTTATAAGCCTTTTCCAGTGTTTCTGTTATTGCTTTAAAACTTCCATTCAAACTACATTACCTATTTTACAGATACCTCATTTTGAATGGAACTCTATGACTTTGTCAACAAAGGATGCTCGCATGGACTACCTGAGAGAACATATATTTGGAGAAGGCAAATCATGATTTTTAGTTTTATTTAAAATTAGTTATCATGTTGTATTACAAATAAATTTATTTTAATGAGGTGACTTAAATCAATTAAAAAAGAATGGGAAAATTGACTGATTTCAGGGCCAACTGAATACCTATTAAAATAAACATTTTACAATGGGAAATCTGGCTTGAAAGTTGTTTAAATTTTTTAATATAAAAGATGTGTAGCTTTTAAGAAACTTAAATAGATTACAATTCATTCTATGAGTTTATGCTGTGTGTCAGGATCTGTTCTAGAGGCTGGGGATACAGCAGTGAATACAACTTACCTTCCATCAGTAGAATCAAACAAAATGAATAAAAGATGATATTAAATGCTATGGGAAAAATTCAGGAGAAGGAGTAGGAATATTCTGGGCAGGTGTAATTTTAATCTGGGAAAGACTCACTGACTTGATGTTTCAGTAAATTCTTTTTTTTTTTTTTAAAGATTTATTTATTTATGCATACAAGAGCTAGGGTACAGGCCAGAGATGCAGGGGGTGAGAGGATCCACCAGAGACAGAATGGGGAACAGAACAGGCAGACTGACTGAAATACACTGCTGAGGGGAGCAGCAGGCGAGACAGGAGAAGAGAGGTCTGTCTCGCCATGTGGGTTTCTCCCTGGTCAGCCGGGGATCGAGCTCATGCTGCAGAGGCTGTGGATTGCTTCATAGTGCGGTGCTTAACCCCTCGTGCCACCAGGGAGGCCGTTTCAGTAAATTAAGGAGGTAAGGTTCTCTAGGAGTAGAGAACTTCCAGGAGAGGATCCCTCAAGTACAAAGATCCTGAGGTGGGGCTATGTCTGGCATTTTTGAAAATAATAAGGAATCCACTGTGGCTGGAGCAGAACAACTGGAAGGTAGAAGTATAATAAAAGGAAAATAGATGAGTCAAATAAATCTGACCTTATATTACTCTGAGAGACTACTGGAGTTTCTATAAAAGGAATAGAGATCTCAGGTTTTAATTGGATAACTTTGACCACTCTATTGAGAGGAAAAGGAGGGCAATGTGCATTCGAGTGGGTATATATGCAGGATAACCCATTATCAGGTGATTGCAATAATCAGGACAAGAAATGGAGACATCTGTGGCAGTGGAGATAAGAGTAGTGGTCAGATTTCTTGGATATATTTTGAAGGCAGAGGCAATCGAATTATCTTACTGACTGAACATGGAGGGAGGAGTCAAGGATAATTTTTGTCCTTAACAACTCAAAGGATGTCATTGCCATTGACTAAGATGGGGATGTCTATGGGAAGAGGGAGGTGAGGGGCAGAGGATCATATGGGAGGATTGAAGGATCATGTGTTTGGTTTTAGACATGTTCAATTTTTGTGATGCCTTTTAAATATCTGAAGTTATCAAATAGGCACTTCAATAAATGTGCTCAGAGGTCCAGGCTTCAAATATAAATTTGGAAGTTGTCAATAGTATTTAATGGATTGAGAGCAGATGAACGCATTAAAATATGAGTAAAGGAAAGTCTCAATTGGGGAGAGATCTGAAGACTAAGCTTCAAGAGCTCCAACATAAAGAGATAGAGATGGGGAGGAGGAACCAGCAAAGGAGAGTGACAAGGCAGGCTTGCCAGAGAGGCTTAGAAGGAAAAGTTATAAGCCATAATACTCTGGAAGCTAAGTAGATAAAGCATTTCAAGGAGGAAGAAGTGAGTAGTAATATCAGGTGATGCTGATAGGTCAGGTGAGATGAGGCCTTGGAAATGTCAATTAAATTTAGCAACATAGAAATTATTGTAACCCTGAAGATTACTTTCGGTGAGCAGTGGGTTTGAAAGCCCTAATGTTTCAAGAGCAAGTGAGAGGAGAAATGAGTTTTCTTATAAATGGAAGCAAGGAAATGGGGAGAACTGAGGGGGAAGTAGGCCTTGTCTGATTCTGTACATTCTCTCCTCTTTGAAGAGCAATATATGTTTGTGCTTAGCCAAAAGCCTTATTTTAAATACCCTAAGGCTGCCTGGTAGGGATGTAGGTCTGTCTTCTAACTTCGTGGCCCTCTACATTAGTTCTGTCCCAAATTTAGGTTGGTAGCTAAAATGCCTCAAATCTGCAGCCTAGTTTTAAAAATGTGTCCTACATGTTATTTTCTCCATTGATAGTTGGCCTAGGCTTAGTTGAAGTACTTGTTTAAAATGTCTAATTACTTTGCATGACTTGAGCTCCAGTATTTAGTGATTTTGCAGAATGTAAACTTTACAGAAACTTGTAAAAAACAGAATTAGAACAGTAAGTTAGACATTATGTCTCCCTCATTCTGAATTTCCTCATAATATTCATTTGTATTATTTGATGTGCTAAATTTGTTACCTATTTTTATGATTGTGTCTGATTTCTCAAATAAATGATTATAAGAATTAATCCCTTGAATAAGTTGAAATATTTTATGTGCAACTTTTAGGATAAAATTATTAGGTTGAAGAAGGTTATAAATTGTTTCCTTTTGACATAATGAAAACTCAGTTATTTATACTTTGAGTACATGGAGATCTAATGACACTGATTGTACCTTTCACTTATTGTTATACACGATCTGACTTTCATGTACCACATCTGTTACTCTCCATTCTCTAGGCTGCTTGACTGAAATGCTTTTTTCTATATATACTTGAATTTTTATTTGGTGATTTTTTTTAATCTTAAAAAGTGGGACTATTATAAACAAAAGCATTCTTTTTTTAAAACTGAGATATAATTCACATACCACAATATCAATGTTCTAAAAAGTGGTTTTTAGTATAGTCACTGGGTTATGAAACCATGATCATCACTGTCTAATTTCAGAAAATTTTCATCATCTCAAAGCACTATTTTTTCAATTGAATCTCATATTTACATAGATCTGCACATTCTTCCTGAAAGTAATCACTATATTGCAATCATAGCACTTTCTCCTACAGTTTTATCACTCGTTTGCATCTCAGGACACCATAATTTGTATCACCCCCACCTCCCAAACAAGTTTGTCTTAATCTATGAGCATCCCCTTACATCCTTTCTCTTTCTTACAATTTATCTGTTGAAAAGTTTCCCACCTTCAAGATTTGTTGATTGTGTATTCATGGTATATAGTTCACAGTGGTTTTTCTCAGTACAGAAAAGTAATTGGGATTCTACTTCAAAGATCCAAAGTAAAATTGAATTTTGTAATATCTTTCCATATTTATGGTAGAGAAAGCAGAGCCATATAACTACTCATGTTTTTTATGTAATTGCTTGATAATCATAGAATACTCCAAAGTAGTCCCAAGTGAGGTTTCCCAGAAAATTACATGTGTAAGAATAGAAGTCAAATAAATCTATGAAAGCACATGACACCCATAATCCATGATTAGTTGATGATTTGCAGAGTTGAATGTGATGGTTGTGAACAAACTGAGGAGTCAACTTGCTATATATACTGAGAACAAAGAGTTTGAATGTAGAATCTCACATCCCAGAAAACGGTCACCTTAGGTAACTCAAGGAGAGTACAGATAAAACTTAACCAAAGAATATATACCTTCTCTATACCTACCACTTGCCCCAACTTACACCCAAGTAGTTTAAGAAATCAATCTGTGTTCCCACCATAGATACTATAGTTAAAGTCATGAAAGCTGTCATTTTACTGGTTTTAAAAATTTTTAAAATTAATTTAAATCAAGTGATATTCATATCACAAAAAGAACATAGAAAAAAGACCACTTGAATTTGACTATTTAGACTTTTCCCCTTCAATGAGACCCATTTATTATACTCCTTTAAATAGCATTTTCAAAGTCCTCATGGCACAAAATCTTTAATACACAGGGTTCTTGTCATATCTTAAAGCATGAGGGAAGGTTTTTGATATTTTAAGCATTTAAAAAAGTGATGTACATATTTCATTCTTTAATATCATTTGTAATAGGAAACAAATGTAAAGGTGCAAAACAATGCAAATGAAAGGATTAGTAATCAACCCAAATTTAGGAGCCTCCTTTACAAATGATTGAGTGAGACAGTTAACGAAATAATCTGTTCAATTTAACATATTTCATATTAGAAATGGTTTTCAGCCCTGATGATTACATTGAATACTCAATGCTGTCCCACTAAGTTGGGACAACTTAGTAATTTCTGCATGAATCTCTGTATAGACTTTCAAAAAAGAATAAATTAAAACCCTATTATGCAAACACATTTCCTCAAAATCTACTATGGTTTTTCACTTTCTTGATTATAGTTTAGACAGTTTGAAGAGATTTAAACGTGTTGCTAGGCAACTAGCTCCTGAAGCATAACGTATTTCCTTCAACATCCCAGCCCATTCTTTTTTATCATCTTCATACCTAATAGAGAAAAAAAAAAAGTAATCAATAAGCAGTTTGTAAGTAGACAGTTTTATAGGTTTTCCTGTGTTAAGCATACAAATGTGGATATTTGAGAAAACCCTACTCTTAGTCAGAGAAGGATTCACCTCCCTAGTAGAATAACACTTGAATTCCTCCTAAATTATACATTCTCTGGATGAACATAAGTCTGAACTACTACCAGGATATTTAATCTAAATACTCAAGCAATTAAGCCTTTTCTGTTCACAGTCTTTTATATAGTATGTATTATAGCAATTATATTTCTATTGTAATCACCGCCTTATTATGTCAAAGGTACTTGAGGATAAATAGTATCTATTATTCATCTTAGTATCTTTCCTGCTCCAGAAACTACCAATACTTGGTAGACAGAAAATACTGCAAATCATCTTTGATGAATGTATATTTAAAATAATTTTTAAAATTAGCTGATTTATACATGTTATTAATTAATTTCATCAATGGTACAAATTCTCCTCAACAGGTATACTATACACTGAGTGACATTTATGTAGAGAAAAGCAGACAAAAAATATTTTACCACATATAAAGAACATAATTATCTATACAAAATGTGGGACAACAAAATAAGAGAAAAAGAAGGGTTTTAAATGACCTATCTACATTTTAAGCAATAAGAGATTAAGGAGATTAAAACATTTGATTTATGGCAATTAAATTTTTACTATCAGCTTGGCCATTTCTAAATGACGCAATGATTTCAAGAAAAATTACAATGGAAAAAATGATGAAATAATGGAAGACTAGGAAAATTAGGATTTTTGCAAAACAGGGGTAAGTACTAAGAGAGAATAAGTGGTGAGTCTCAACTCTGGCTACACATAATTGTCTAGCATGCTTTTAAAATATGCCAGTGTCAAAAACACACACATATATAGATATATCTGTGTATATATATTTATACACATATATACCAGTGTCTTAATGAAGACCAACTAAATCAAAAGTTTGGGAGATAGGGAGAGCTTGTGAATTTACCTCCAAAAACCTTCCCAGTTGATGCTAATAGCAACCAGGACTGTGAAACACAAGAATGGTGCTGCCAATCAGCTGAACCCCATACAAGCCACTCTGGTTCCAAATAGAATTCAAAAGTCAAGTTGCTTTGGCAGGAGGCCATACTCTACACCAATTAAGTCAATTTCTGGGGGTGGGACCCATGTATCAATATTTTCATGTCTTCAGGTGGTTCCAAAGTGCAGTCAAGTTTGAGAACCAATAATCTGCAATGGTTGCCACAATAGTGACAGTTGCACCAGAGTACTTGTTTGATATGCAGATTCTCAGGCCTTATCTCAGACCTACTGAAACTTTGGGGGTGAGGCCCAGAAATCTGTGTTCTTAACAGGCACTCTGGTGCACGCTAAAGTTTTGAATCACTAATCTATGGCGATCAAGGAAAGTATGTCATATTATTTACTTCAAAACTGTTTATCAGTTATCAGTTACCTGATTTAATATTTGGTTCAGAAAGTTGGAGTGGATAAAACTTACTTCCATATGTCATTGACTTCAGTGGGTGCAAACTCTTTAGTTTCCAGTTGAATCATGGCAAACCCTCCGATGGCATATAGGGATCCTGCCAAGCTAACCAAGCTGATGGAACTTCTTTCTTGGGGAAATTCAGTCATTACTTCCCATCTAGGAATTATTAAAAATGTGGTCAATGTAAAACTTGTCAAATGTATTTTACTAAACAATTACAGAAAATTACAAAGATAAAATCCAAGTAGCATAGGCATCGAAATTAGAATAGATTAAATAAATGCAACCATACCATGTTAGATATAAAACTCAATATGTCAATGCCATAACACTAGCTTCATCTGCTACCACCTTCAGCAGTGGTTATCGAATTGTACGCCATAAACAGTGGGTTTTATGGCAGTTCTAGACATCCTAGACTCTAATGTGTGGAATCTCATTTTGAATACCAATACAAAATTTAAAAAACTGATCTCCATCATTTCTTAAGAAATCTCCAGGTCCTTAGGAATAAAGTTTCATGATCTGGATATCTTAGACATCAAGGTTGGAAATTTTCTTTTTGTTAATTTTTATGCAATATCTTTTTTTAAGTAATGGATTTAATGGGCACTTTTAAATGTAAAGAGCCTTTTGAAATAAGACAAATAAAGATATCAATCAAATGAGGTGGAAATGTTAAGACTCTATAGATTGAATGAGTCATTTTGATAACTCCTTATTTTATTACTCTAGCATAAAAATTGGACCTCATAGTTTTTCTCTAAATAGATTAGCTGTTTTTCTAATTATAAAAATAACATGTATATTGTAGAAAAATCTGGAAAATACAGAAAGATACAGAAGAAAACAAAATCACCCATAATCATAGGCAACATTTAGGGGTACTTTTGTCATTTTTAAAAAAGCATATAAATTTAAAAAGCTATCTATACATATGAACATCTTTATAGTTTTGAGTGTCATTTCTTTAATTCCCTGCATTGTGAAGGTTTATCCGTCTTCTATGTTCAAAAACATGTTCTTAAATGATTATTTAAATCCTAGTCCATAAAAGTTCCTTGTGATTTTCAGATATTAAAGTCTATTTTATAATAAAGCATGCGTGGTACCTTAATAGAAGTAATAATCGTGTACTAAATTTTCTTCATTGTTAAACTAGGAGTATAAAAACTACTCATACAGATGTGAGCTCAAAAATTTGAAAGCTTTTTATAAGAATATCTGTCCAATATCTTTTCACATTAACTTTAAGCCAATAAAAACTTAGAAGTACAAATTTTAAGAAAATCATAAAGAGCATGAAAGAATTAACCTCTGAAGTATTCATGTTTACAAATAAGACAAGCTTAATGAGGTCTTTCATTCTTAAAGAAACTGTATTTCAATTAAATACCACTTTTTGAGACTTGTTTACCTACATTTATATAATTATCAGAAGTATCACCTCTGGGCCTCCCTGGTGGCCTATGGGTTAAATCTCAGTGCTACCACTTAGACAGCCCACCACAATGGCCTGAGTTAGATCCTGCCCGGGGAGCTGACCTACATGGCTCAGTAGACCTCTCCTTTCTCCCCCATTGTTCCCCTTAGCAGTGTATTTTAGTCAATCTGCCTGTTCTGCTCCCCATTATATCTATGGTGAATCCTCTTGCCTCCCCCTCCCCCACACGTTTGGCTTACACCCCAGTTCTTATAAATAAATAAATAAATAAATAAATAAATAAATAAATAAAATCTTAAAAAAGAAGTATCACCTTTGCCCAACTAAATTCACAGTAACATGCAAGGACAGATGGAGTACTCCAGTATTAACTTGAAGGTCATGTGTTCCAAATTATATACATTATACATCAAAACAGTAGGTGTTTTACACATAATACCAGCAAAAGAAATCCAGATGAAGATACTTCTCTTTAATCCTTGACTTCCTGTCCTCTTCTCTCCATGTTAGGACATTTCCTTTAATGTCCTAACTAGGAAATTAATTTTTATCCAAAGTTAATAAAAAATTAAAATGTGTAGTGATTTATATGCTGAATAAGACATAGCAACTTACTTATTGGTTGTGAGGTCAAAAGCTTCAACTGAAGCTGAAAGACCATCTTCAGTGACACCTCCTGCAACTACAATTTTGCCTTTATGTATTGCTACTCCAAACATGGAACGAGGTATTTTCATTGGAGCCAGATCTTTCCAGTCTCCTTTTTTGGGGTTGTAGATAAACACCCGGTTTGTACACTTTCTGTAAACACAAACACAACAAAATAAATACTTTCTTTAAACACAACAAAATGGTCCTTCTAGAACCTTCCCTCTTTGAAGAAGCAATTTCACTCATCAGTGAGTTTGGCTTTTTGTATCAAATATACAGTACAAAAGAGGATCAGGAAAACTCCAAAGTTGTCTTAATGTGAAAATATGCCTCCAAGCAAAGTATAATTCCAAATATGAGGACCAAAACCATTTTATAACTTAATTATAATACTGGACAGTACAGTACTTTTACTTTTGGCAACTCTCTAAAAGCCGAGGCAGATTAAATTTTAATCCAATCTGCTGCTATATTAAATGGAAGACATAAATTCAGTAACACTATAGAAATGAACCCGGAAATTATAGTCTTTAGACATGAATATATTTTTTAAAAATCATAAGCTTTTTATTATACCTTAGTAACAAAAATACTAAGTTAGTTTATTATTTGAATATCCCAGGAATGAATCTGCTAACTTAAAAAATAATTAGGTATAAATGAATCTATTTTAAATTGAACTATTTAATATGATGGGCCATTCCATTTGTGTCTACCATACATTACCAATGTATTTTTAAAAATCTGGGACTATGGACAACTAGTCATCTGGGCTGATGAGTAATGAGACCAATTCTATATGCTAAATGCTACCAGAAAAACCTGGGCTCATCTGAATTACTATTCTCAGTATGTTCCTTATGGTTCTATAAAGTGATCCAGAATTTACGAAGGCGAGTTCAGAATTCCAAATAATTGATTAACTGTTATGTTTGGTAAAATTAGAAGCAAAAAAGTCCATTTTTGTGAAAACCATTTTTTTCTTTAATCTCTAAAAGAACAGATATCTGAAGTAGAAACATTTCCTTTAATATTTCACTATGAGTATTACTTTAAAACTTCTTGATAAGTTTTTTCAAATTTACTGGTAATAATTACTGCAAGTCAGTGCTTACTTTTAGATTATGACTCATTGCAAAGTTCCTGACTTTGGCATTTGTCCAGCACTTGGTTAATGATATTCTCAAGATTATTATATTCTTACTGACAAGACCTGTATGTGCTTACTGACATATCAATTTCCTAGTCCTAATACTACTTGAAGGAAACAATTTAAATCATTTGGCAAGGAGACTATGTTTCCAAAGTCAGAACACTGCTTAATACAGATATTCCATTCCATTTACACAGGAAAAATGCCCAAAATAAGATTTAGGACTGAGTTTCTAACTTCCTTTCAATATTCATTTGATGGGAATAACTGGAATTAAGGAGGATATAAAAATTTTAGAATATTTTATCTTTGAATAAGGATAGATGGTATGTTACTTTTTAAACTCACATTTTCTGCACTATCTTTGTATTTTAATTGAATACTAATCATTAATTTGTAACTATAGAATATAGTTTTTCACTTCTTGATTTTTTACTTCCAAAACATTATGGATGAGAACCAAGTGCCATTTCAGTTTTAGATTCAAATGAAAAGGGGAAGGAGCATATGTAATAATAAAAAAAATCATTTGGTTATAAATCATAGTAAATTTCAGTACTTACTTGTCATCTGTCTTTCCTCCTAGACAATATATCATCCCTTTATGTGAAATCACATTATGGCCATAGACTTTGATTGGAAGTTTTTTTACTTCACTCCATTTTGCAGCCCTAAAGAAAATATCAGAAGTTACAAGCTTTCTGCATATTCCAGGTTATAAAAATATGAATGTTATAGGCACTCATACACCTGAATGCTGAACAGGAAAGTCATATCAACTCACACAGGATCATAGCATAATACTGAATCCAGCGAAGCCTCTGTTTGCAGGTCTTTGCCTGCAACTACATAGATTTTATCATCTACTTCTCCAAGACCAAACAGACATCTGGCAGAAGGTAGAGGCGGAAGTCCAACCCACTCAGATGTTATGTTATCAAGCTGAAAAAAAAAAGTACAGAAGGAATTGTGGAGCTTCTTACAAAAAAGTTATAGCTTGTTATAAAAAGGTATGAAAAAGTAACTATGTATTGTTTATAGTTTGTTGAGTTCTTCAAAGATTTTGTAAGTAAAATGAAACCACAATCCAAAGATATCATATTTTACCATTAAATTACCAAGAAAAATGAGAAAACCCAACTGGCTTACGAAAATAGGTGAAAATAACAAACAAATTGCAGGACTTTAAGGAAGGAAAGAGAATAGAATCACCACAAGTTAGTGTAGAACTGTGTGGTTTCTTGTTAAATTCTCTTTCCATGTTGCCTTGCTCAGGTTTGAAGTAAGGAATGATGATACTTGGAGGACACTGGTGAGAGAGAGACTGTCACCGGTCAGTATGGAGTGCCCCCTCTACTCCCACATGCTATATTTAAACAAACTTCCCAAGCTAGTATCCTGGACAGCTGGACCTGTCGCTCAGTCCACAGACAACTGGGAGGTTTGGCAATATCTTATTTTCCCTTCAATTTTTTGGGGGGGTCTCTATGTTCATTTTAAAACAGCAGGTATATTATGGTGTTAATATGAATTTTCGTGTGCTAGACTTCCGTTGGCACCCTCCTCTTTTTTTTTACTTTGTATTAGGAAGTAACTTTGTTTTTGTTGATACCACTTCTGCAAGCCTAACACAGCTCACCTTGTGCCCAAGGAGGGATTAAATCCCTCATCCCGCTAGTGCTTTCCTTAGCTGAGGTTACTAAGCCAGATATAGAGACCCCTCCCTATATTACCTTTAATATCTGCATATATTTCTGCTATCCATTTATTCTGGATTTAATTCATTTTTCTTTTGTTAGACAGTACTAGTAGTAGAGAGAACAACAAATCTGCAAATGCATTCCTTCAGAAAGCAGTTTTGTTGAGCCTCAATGTCCTAAATGCAAAGAAATACTGAATGACTTAACTCACATGGAATATAGAGAAACAAGACAAAGGAACAACAAAACTAAACCAAAACAAACCCTAGAAACATGACTGCAGAATTGAGGCTACTAGAAGGGAAGGGAGGGTGGGAGTGGGAATCAAAAGAGTGAGGGAATTCTCTGGAATATGGCGGAAGGTTATGGATGCTTTGTGTGTGGTTATGGGGTGGTAATGTAACAGGGTGGTCCCCAGGAAAGGCAGAGATTCCAGGTTTCTTGCCCCACCCAAAAGGAGGGTGGAGCTGAGCAGGGAGAGAAAAAGCTGCAGAGGAGATGGAGGCAGGAAGGAAGCAGGATCGAGAGCCAGAAGGAGACCTGGAGGAGGCACATGGAGCTGAGAGACACGTGAAGAAACTGCGCTTGTCTTTTGGTCGTGGACTGGGTGACACAGATGTGGGTGAGTGACAGTGGCGGTTTTTGTCTTGATTGTGATTTTTTTCTTTTCCTCCCAGACGTGTCTGGTTGTTTCTGATTCTTTGCTGTGGGTGCCCACTGGAAGATGCTTTAGACTTGTGGCAGGCTTTGGGGCTTTGCTCTGGGCCAATCCTGCTTGGGTGGACTTTTACCCACAAGGGGATGGGTAACTTTTGGTGCTTGATTTAGAAACTAGATTCTTTGCCTTTCCTGTATTGTTTACTAATTGTATTAAAGTTCCTTTTCAGTAAAGTCTCCTATGTTTTGTGTTGATGCGGCGGATGGCAAAACCTATTTAGAGCAGGCAGGTTTGCAGGTTCTGGGGTGCCCCTCTCCCTGCCCTGTAACAGTAACATAAATCTGAAGAGGTGTGATTTACCTCTAAATCATATACAGTATTTTAAACCAGTGTTACCTTGATGAAACATAAAGAAAAAAAAAACAACCTTTAAATGACTTCCCCTGGTGGGGTTAGCTTCACATTCACTAATTTCAACATCCATATTGTGATCACTAATGTTTTCGTTTTTGAAAAAAAAAACCAAAAAACAACACAAAACTCCTTTGCTCAAGAAGGTGGTGTGCAGTACAGTAGAAATAGTAATGGATGTCTGTGCAGTGCTGACCCTGTGGTAGGCTTAGTATTCAAAGCATTACGTTATATCATTTAGTCTTCCAGGGCTGGTATTTCTATCATCTCTGTTTTACAGACAGGAAACAGACACAGAAAGTTTAAATTTGTGCAAGCTCACAGAGCTTTTAAGTAATATTCTAATGCAAGCTGTATCAATCTGTAGTTTGTTATTTAAAATGGGAATAACAGCCATTATCCCAAGCCTGAAAGTCTACTACTCATACCGTATAGTGCTGTCTATTGCTACATCCCCTGAGAGGTGCTTCCTACAGGAGATCAAGCACTAGATGACTGCCAGACTCTTTTATAGATGAGTCCTCAATCTATTTACCTCTTGGGGTCCATTTTTATTATCCTTAAAATTGCAATTTGGACCTAGATGTCTTTGGATGGCACTGTTTAAAAATTTGATAAATCTATTAGTACTATGAAAAAAAATCCTCTCTTCCCTAGGTAAATAGTCTCAGTCTATATTATAGAATCAAATTTCATATTACACCTAACTTACACTTTTTTTTTTTTTTTTTTTTTATAGAGGCATGCTTTATTTATTTGTTTGCTGGTTTCTTTGTTTGTTTTGTTTATACATGCACTGGGTACAGTCAGAAGCGTGGGAGGGCGAGAGAATTCACCAGAGCCAGAGCGGGGAGCAGAGCAGGCAGAAGGACCGAAGTACACTGCTGAGGGGAGCAGCGGGCGGCAGGAGAGGTCTGCGCGCCATGTGGGACCCTCCTCCGGTGGCCGGGGAGCAGCCGGGGATCGAACCGGCGCCGCAGAGGCCGCGCGCAGCTTCGCAACCCAGCGCTCAACCGCTGCGCCACCGGGGAGGCCCTAACTTACACATTTTAAACAGATGTAACCAAGCAGAAAAACATAAAACCTGAAATATTTTCATATATATCTTGTGAGTGGTAAACTTCTTTTAGAATTGGTTGTTTTTATCTTGGCATCTTGTTCCACTATTTGTGCCTTTTTAAAAGTAGCAACTTTTTGCAGCACAAAGAACATGAAGCAGTTTTCTTGAGCCAGAAAAGAGGCATTGGCAATGGAAATAAGTTAGTAACATGTTCATAGAAGAGAATAAATATAAAATTATATGCATATTATTGAATCTGTGATTTCTAGGTACATATCTTTCTGTGTTTTAATGTACTTTCTACTTCTTAGATATAAAAACTGATTTTTAAATTGAATATTCCCTTTCTGATATTTACCTGAATTAAAAAATAGGGCTTTAGATATTTTTTGGTTTGCTTTCAAATGATTATAATATATTTCATAATTAACTTTCTTCAAATCTGAAAATGAAGATCTGTTATAATAATTACATATTTCAAGATTAGAAAAGCTGATAAATGGTAGTATTTTGTGATTGCACAGTATGTCACATTTTGAGAGCATGCAGTGATAGCAGTATGACATTGTATAATCACTTATCTTTGGTCTTTTCAAGTCAAATGACCACAAAGCTCCAAGTTTGCTATGACCTAAAAAAACTTGTAGGATAGTTGTAAGCTACAAATTTGAGTATTTGCATTGTTAAAAGTTAAGCCACTTTATTATAAACAGATAAAGTATGATGCACTGATAATATGAAACAAATATTCTTTGAATACATAACCAAAGGTTTATTAGTTGAGAGGATTTGTTTTCTTGGAAACTTCTGTGGTTTCACAAAATAGATTAAGTTGTTACAAAGTCTAAGTATACCTCTGAAACCCAAATAAATGTGATCATTGATCATATATAAACTTTAATCATAAAAATTCTAAATATAAACTTTTTACCATAAAAAAAAAATCTAACTATAATTAATCAAATTCAAATGAGTGGCACTTGTGAAGACAGTTTTTCCTAGGAGAGAATCTAAAGTTGGTAAAATATATTTACAAGTTCTTTTCATTTTCACCAAAACTATAATTTAGGCAATAATCAGAAAAAGATTAGAGATGAAATGATACCTCCAAGAAGTTCAAATCAGTTCAAGGAAACTTGGGGAATGGTAAAAATCTCATTAATTATTTCTCTTTTGTAGTGTACAAAGTACTTGAACTTAGGGAAATACTTTAATCTGTTTTTCAGGCAAAAAGAAGATAAGATTAAATGTAGCTTTTACTTAAATACTGGGTTTTGAAGGACTACAGTCATCATCATCTATAAATATATTTTGGGTAAAAGATTATAAAGAAAATCTTGAGTCATCACTTAAGCATTAATTCGAACCTCATTCTTGACCAAACCTTTTGTTAATTATTAACAGTTAAATTAACTCATTTAAATATTTCTGTCAGCTCTCTAAGTAATAAAAGAACAAGGAACTGGAAGAGGATATCAACTGGAATAAAAAGGCAAGCAGCCTGAAAAATCCACAAATAGTTAACTAGATGATAACAGCCTTCCCTTTATGCCTCTATTTATATAAAAATAGTCTTACCTGGAAGAAGTAGGACTGTAGAGGTTGATCCTTATTTTCTTCATCCACATATAGTCCCCCTACCACATAGACCTGGTTTTGTTGGGTAACAATGCTGGAATGGTTTCTGGGAATCTGCTCAGCCAGTGCAGTAAGGTAGCATTCATTTTCTGTGGGATCATAAGCCACTGCAGCGGTGTCATTAACCAAGAGAATCAGGTCTTTGACAAACATCCCATGCCTGGGAATGTCATTCAGGTAGCCAGGCAATAAATCTTCATCACCAATATCACCATTCACCTCACCAGCTCCAGCCTTCTCTGCATTTTTGCTAGGTTCTGGGAGTTTGCCTCCAAAGGCATCTTTGAGAACTTTGATTTTTTTCTGGAGTTCTGGGTTGCTTTTAATTATATCATCTTTTTCAACATGATCTTTAAAATATTTTTCTGTCATAAGGCGAAAACGAATACAATCAAACACTTCATTAAGGTTTTTAACCCTGTTTTCTTTGTCTGTTCGCACCCATTTCATTACTGCCTCGAATACTATGTCTTCCTTTTCTACGTTTAGGCTGTCATTTGAAATGACTGAGATCAGTTCCTGTGGCGATAACTGCATAAAGTCCTCTTCTTTACATATCTGTACAAAACGATCGGACACGAATTCACGGGCAGAGATGGCGAGTCTCGGGCAGTCAAGAAGAAGTCCTAATCTGAGGATAGCTAGACAGTTACCAGGAGCAAGTCTTTTCTGAAGATAAGAAACACAGACAGTGAACACCGAGGGTATCTGAAAGCGGCTGGCCAATGCAAAAATATCTTGCACATTTCCATCATTGAGATCAATACTGGCGGAATACAGGTACTTGATGATTAAATCCAGTACTGCAGGATCCACATTATCTAGTACTACCTCCTTTTTCTTCTCCTCTTCGATTTCAGATAAAAAATACTCACGGAAGTAAGGACTACAAGCTGACAAAATCAGTCTGTGGCAAGGAAGACTTTTGTCACCTGCTTTTAAGGTGCAATCGATGAATTTTTTTTCATCCAGGAGATCTTTTAGACCATCCTGAAGAAGGGTGGATTGGTAAAGCCGCAGTTCCTCTGCAAGTTCCCGCTGGTAATCCATTTTGTGAGTAACCTGGGTAAGGAAGGGGACACTGAAGGCCTTAGCTCCTCGCAGCACACAGGTCTAGCTGTAAAAGGGCAGATCAGTGTGCTTTGCCCAGCTTCAAGCCTTTGCAATTTAATCCCAGCAGCTAAATATAGACACCAACTCTAACAACTGGAATTTAGGAGAGGCAGTTTGGAAAGAAGAGTTATTCCTGCAGCTGTTTAAGATTGAAAGGAACAACTGGAGCTTTTACTCACTAAGGAGAGAGCTAAGAAACACGAGATATAAATGAAGTGGAAAGCTTTAAAATACATAAAGCATTAGAAAATTTGCTAATAAAAATTACCATAAGAAAATATATGTTGAACAAACTGAATCATAAAATGAGTCAGTTCACTAAAAATGGTCTCGTGACAAGCTAGCTGACTGAATTAATGATGCAAAGGTCAAGAATGACAGGTGAGTTAATTGACTGCTCATAAGCAAGATCCCCTTTTCAAGAACTGTTGAACACAAATTCATTTTCTATTTAAAACATTGGGATATAGAATTTTCTTATAGAAATGGAAAACAGGGCCTCTGTGGTGGCGCAGGGGTTAAACTCTCAGTGCTATCAAGCTATCCCCAGGCACCACAGTATGAGTTCCTTCCCCAGCCAGGGAGCTAACCCACATGGCACAGCAGCAGACCTCTCCTGTCTCCCCCACTGCACCCTTCAGTGGTGTATTTCAGTAGATCCGTCTGTTCTGCTACTACTCTGTCTCTGGTGAATCCTCTCATCCTCCCCACCCCCAGCATCTCTGGCCTACATCCCAGTTCTTCTATGCATAAATAAATAAAAATAAATTTAAAAAGAAAGAAGTGGAAAACAAAGATTTTTACTTGTGTAATATAACTATTAACATTTTTAAAAAAAATTCCTGTCATAATTGAAATATTAAATGGAGAGTAACTGCTAATTTTCTAAATGTTCTAAATTCCTTATTCTTAAGAGGAAAAATTGGCATTTAATTAAATTGTAAAATTAACTTATTCATACCCTGCCTTGCTCCTCAAAGGATTTGATTTCCAAACAATAAAATGAGTAAAATAAAGGTAAAAGGTTTAAAGGAATAATCAAGGCCAGGAAAAAAAAAAGTCAACGGGATGGGGCACACACACACATATACAGTATGTCACTGAAGATATTGTGATTTTAAGTGTTGAAGATGATTTTCTTAGTTATCTTTTTTAACTTAAAAGAAGTTAAAAAATAGCATAGCAGTAGCCCTTTGAGATTAATGTTAACAGTACAGCACAATCAGGACTAAGGGCTACATCACTTGTACACTTGGAAAACAGGCTTATGCAAAAGAAAAAAGTATAACTGGAATCATAATTTTTATTGATTATAATAGAACACCATGTTAATTATGGAATGTAGAAAGCATGATTTGTAAGAAAAGTTCTTTGTTTTTAAGATAGTACCATATACTTCTTCATGATTATATTTTATTACAAAATGAGGAGACATTTTCTAAGCTCAGTGAGGTGGTAGAAATACTGTAATGTCAAAAGCTGGTGTTCCAAAACATGCCTAAAAGAATATAAGCTCCATAAGACAGGGATTTTTTCATTGTTTTTTTTGGTTCCATGCCATAGTCTCAGGACCTTGTGGGTGCTCCATAGATATTTGTTGAGTGAATGCCCCCAGACCTGGCAATTACGTATTTTTAAACTTTGAGGTGTCTATCCATGAGTCAAGGTTTTTTCTCTCATTTCACATCACGGTGAAGTCTATGGTACTGTCAGTTGCTACAACAACAGCTGAAAGAAGAGCTCATTGACTCCTTTTCCATTTATAGATGCCACTAAAGGTTTTAACAGACTAGAAAAAACTAACAGCTGCTCCCTTGTTTAAACAATAAATGACTCATTTCTCTCTACAAGCAACACCTAACATTTGAAAAGATTAATGAGTCAGATGCCAACACCATGATGAGACTTCAATTATTCCTTACTAGTCGGCAATTTTATAAAGCCACTTTTGCTTAAAAAAATAAATAATATTCCTGGGAACATTTTGTGATATGTACATATTTTTCCAAACAACCTCTTTCCACCCCAAATAGGTTATAATAATACCATCACTTTAAAATGTAGAAATCCTTTCTTATTTAAATTGAATAATAAAACCAATTTATAGTTTTAATTCATTGATTTTTATTAGATTTGGATTATCTTACTTTACATGTTTTCACATACTCCTTTCCTGCTAAGGAAGGAGGACTCCATTGGCTAATTTCAATAATTTGACAAAGTTTCCTTACAATGTTTTTTTTTTTTTTAAAAATCATCACTTTTTTTTTTTTTTATAGAGGCATGTTTTTATTTATTTGTTTGTTTGTTTGTTTTGTTTATACATGCACTGGGTACAGTCAGAAGCGCAGGAGGGTGAGAGAATTCACCAGAGCCAGAGCAGGGAGCAGAGCAGGCAGAAGGACCAAAGTACACTGCTGAGGGGAGCAGCGGGCGGCAGGAGAGGTCTACGCGCCATGTGGGACCCTCCTCCGGTGGCGGGGAGCAGCCGGGGATCGAACCGGCGCCGCGGAGGCCGTGGGCAGCTTCGCAACCCAGCGCTCAACCACTGCGCCACCGGGGAGGCCCTACAATGTTTTTTTATACCAAAGCAATGGCAAAAAAACTGATGCCAGAGAGATCACCAAATCTTACCTAACCCAAGACATCTGAAAACAACTGCCTAATTTTGAAAACTTCAAAGAAGAAGTTATAAGGAGAAAGTCAATAATTAATCTATTTATTTAAAACTATTTTCTTACAAAATAATGTGTTCTTGCCAAAATAATATTGAAATTATTTACAAAATAGTACCCCAAACTTTACATAGGGGTTAATACATTACAGTTAGTAATAATTTTTAATTTTTACAGAAATGTTCACCAAAAAAATGACAAGGGTCAAATTTAGAGTTGGCTTACATTTGGAGTTCTATGACAATGAATTGAAAACAGATTTTTATAACTAAAAAAATTAGCATTTTGATTACTCCATAAATGTCATTCTTTTAAATAATACTTTCAAAACATTAAATGGTGCTGCATAAGTTCTTTATTAAATCCAACAAGATAACAGACATTTAATATCCACAGACCAATAATTTACAATTATTAAGTACAAAATAAGCATATTTATAAACCAGATACATTTACATTACAATTTTAAATATAATTTCAGAAAATTGGCAGTAAAATCTTAGATAAGTGAATTTTTCCTTAATTATTTAAAAAACTCTTTCTTAAAAGCTTTTCCATGGATGTAAAAACTATTCCATGCCTTATAACAGGTGTCTGACTAGTATCTTTAATCTTGAGATATCTTTAAATAGAAATCCAGCTCAACTCAAGATCAACTCATTACTTCCCAAAGTCCCTGCAGAGTGAATCCATCCTTCAATTTCTCTATTGCAAGCCCCAGTTCTTCTGAAAATACAGGTTCACGATCTTGTTGCTTTTGGGGAGATAAGAGGATGAGATGGGAATAGAGAAGGTGGCAAAGAAGAAGAAAAAAAAAAAAAAACAAAGAAATAGGTTTCACATAAGTTTGTGAATGATGGACTACAGAAAGTTTTTTTTCATATACTATAGGTGAAATTTCCTTACCTTATTGCCATCAGCAAAATACGCCTATAAGACAAATAAAATTGTATTTCACATATTTGACATATAAGATTACAGTAGATCAGTGAGCTAAGCTATAGGTAATTTACAGAACATTTCTGTAAATAAATGTGTTTTACAATCTGTTCTTATGTGCCCAGTAGTTTTATTCATTGTTCTTTACAATGCTGGCTGAAGAATTTACTTCTGTCAATAATTATTGTCTTAGAAAACTTAGGCTTTAAGCTCTAAAAACCTATGCTTTGTATCGCAAATAAAGTATAGCATTGTTAACTTGAGAAAGGACATAAAAAAGAATGACCCTAGAGGTCCTCCCCTAGGGGAGGGCACTGGGCTGTGAAGCTCAGCCTCTGCAGTGCTGGTTCAATCCCCTGCCACCGGCGAGGGTCCCACATGGCGCGCCTGCTGCTCCCCTCAGCAGTGTATTTCTGTCAGTCTGCCTGTTCTGTTCCCCGCTCTGGCTCTGGAGAATTCTCTCACCCTCCCGTGCTTCTGACTGTACCCAGTGCTTGTATGAATAAATAAATAAATCTTAAAAAAAAAAAAAAAAAGAAAAAAGAATGACCTAGAAACTATAAAGTATTAGTCCTACTTTTGGATTAGAAGAAAATGTGGGTGAAAAAACCCCTTCAATGTGTCACCAAATGCATACTGTTTGAGGTAGTAGCTTATAATGAAACATTTTGTATAATTTCACATTTATTTTTAAAATATTGGTTCCCAGACAGGTATTCTGATCAGGTTTATAGGCCAGAGTATATAGAAAGCATTGTTATTATTTTGGCTATTAATAAAATAATACAAATTTGAAAACAGAAAGGTTTATAAAGATAATATATCAATAAATTGAAAGGAAGTCTGTCTCATAAAGATTAAAAATGTAATGTATAGATTTTAAAATTAATGTAGCTATAATGTTTAACATGTTCTCTTATTTTTAAAGTATGAAAAAATTTTCCACATATCTTAAATCCTTTAAATAACTGAGTTGTTTGGCAATTTAAAAGTAATCTCATATATCCACAAAATCCCTTACAAACTTAAAAAAAAAACTCCCCTCCAATTCACGTTTAAGATATCCTCAAAAGGTCTCAGGTTGTATGATATTTACATACTTAAATTCATTATTTAACTAAACATGACTCAGATAAAAACATCATAAGAAATGTAGTAGCTCTCCTTTGTGATGCTCACCACAAAAGCGTCTGTGTGATCTTCGGAGTCAATTTCTACATCATCTTGAATTTGTTCAACTGTCAGAGCTTCAAGTGGCTGTGGCTAAAAATGAGTAGATATTAAGGTGCATCAACAAGTCTGTATTAAATAATGCTAGTAAAATGTGCTCTGAGAATTGTAAATGCTTATAAAAGGATAACACAGTTACAGACTGAGTACTCAAGTCTTATAAAAATCCCTGTTGAATTTATAGTCTATTAAAACTAACCTAAGTAATAAAATGAGTCAGTTAAGCATAAGCTTTTAAATTTGAAGTTACTATCATCAAAAGGATTAAGATGGGAAATTGCTACATATTTAATATGTTAGATATATCCTTAAAGGAAAAGCCCACTGAACTTTTTTCTTTCATAGTTAAAAAATCTTCTGTATAATAGCAAATTTTCAATTTTCCTCAAAATAGTCATTGAATTTCATTTGTGAAAAGTAAAGGAACTAATATTTATATTGAATATTCTAAAGGTAAAGTAGAAAAACATACAGTGCTACTATTAATTTGTTCAGTTTTCAATTATTAGAGATCTTTGGTATATTAGGGACTATGTAAGTAGAACCAAGGGTATAAAGTACCTGCCCTTACCCACAAAGGGTCTATAATCTAGTGGGAGAGGAAAGATAAAACCCAGCTATACAAAACAAAATATTAGGGTGAACCATATAAAAAAATCATCATTTTTATTAGTCAAAAGTGGTCAAATATTAGTATCATATACTTGGTTACAGCAAAAGAGCTGTAACATATACACTATCTATTATAATGAAAGACCGTGGCCATAGCACAATTTCTGGCTTGTGAATCCCAGAAACTTCCACAAAGAAAAGGTTGGCATGTGATCAAAGCCTATCAGGATGAGGATAAGTATGATTAGGGGGAAAATATTCCCAGCAGGGAGATCATGGTCAGCAAAGGTGAGAAACTACAGGATATGGCTGAAGAAATGGTGAATAAACAGTCCAGTGTGATCACAACTAAGATTCGCATGAGATTGAAGGTGCTAAAAAGAACAATTGTATTCAACAACCCTAGGGAGAATCATTTCCACTAAAATCTATGTGAACAATATTCTCTAGAATTGGGTATGCACAGCCTGCACAACTGTATACCGCAGCGGTGCAGATAAGGTGGGAAAGACAGATTGGTCATCTACCGAAAGTATTTAAAACCAGCTCAAAGAATCTAGACTTTATTTGTAGGTAGGTAGTAGGGGAGGGTGGAGGGCAGCAGTATAATGCTTGATAAGGGAGTTACCTGATCTCCTAATCTGGGGATAAACTCAGTATTGTAAACATGCTCAGAGCTGTGCAACTGTGTACAAGATTTCAACTTAATTCTCAGTTTCCTTAACTGTGAAGTAAGGATAATAATAATGACATACTTTTTTTTTTTTTTTTTTAAAGTGACAGTCTTTTATTTATTTATTTATTTGTTTGTTTTGTTTATACAAGCACTGGGTACAGTCAGAAGCGTGGGAGGGTGAGAGAATCCACCAGAGCCAGAGCGGGGAGCAGAACAGGCAGAAGGACCGAAGTACACTGCTGAGGGGAGCAGCGGGCGGCAGGAGAGGTCTGCGCGCCATGTGGGACCCTCCTCTGGTGGCCGGGAAGCAGCCGGGGATCGAACTGGCGCCGCAGAGGCCGCGGGCAGCTTCGCAACCCAGCGCTCAACCGCTGTGCCACCGGGGAGGCCCAATAATGACATACTTTTAATGCTGGAAGAATTAAATGAGATGAAACATATAAAGTTCTTGAATGGCGAGAATGGCCGGAGGGCGGAGCAACATGGCGGAGACGCTGCGAGTAAGATCTCCCATTAAAAAGTTAATAGGGAGGAAAAGCGGCAGGTCCCAGTGAGAACTGGGACACGGAAGATAAACGGGTGACACCAGCAAACTGCCCGAAGAAGAAAGCTGCCATAAAAGAGGACTAGAAGGGAGGAAAGCGCAGAACCCTGCTCCCCTCCCCCGCCCACAGAGTCGGCACTCTCCGACCAGCAGAGAGGAGGAAAACAACAAACTAAAACGACCAACAAGAACAAACTATGCAGCAAGCGGGACTGTGAGTGGAAAGGAACTATTGCAGCCACCACACCCCGTGAACGGGAGCTGTGGAGAACCCTGCAGGATTCGCCGAGGCTGTGAGCGAACAGCTTCAGGTGACATTGGAGAACAAAGAGACTCTGGAGGAGACATGCACACAGCCCCGGGCCGGCCGGTAAGCTTGCGCGGAAAAGCGGCGTGCTTGGTGCGCTTGAAAAGCAAACGCGGATCGGGATCGCGGCTGCCCAGTTCCCCGAGCCTGCGACCTAGGCTTGCGGGGAGATGCGCGGAGGCCCTCACTGAGGTGAAAGTCCCTCACTGAGTAAGCAGGAACCAGGTGCACAGGCACGGGAGCGGGGTGCAAAAGGCGCCATTCCCGCGCCACTGAACTGGGCTACAGCCCGTGTCCTGGACCTGAGGGCTTTGGAACTGAGACCCGGGGCACGAAATTCGGGCGTGGGTTCTCCACGACGGTGGGGCACAAGGCAGACACAGCACCCCAAAGCCGTTGAGGTTTACCCTACCATTCTCGCTCTGTTCCCTGTCCCACGGGGGGGTGGGGGGGGCGTCGAAAAGCAGCCTCCCAAGGACAATAGGAGAGATCTCTGGCGCCACCTAGTGACCAGAAAAAAAAGTCACTAACACCCCATAGAACAGGGAAATTTCTTAAGAAAAGACTTCTTGAAAAGGGCAGAAGGCTTCTGGAGGACCCAGTGGCCAGCTGGGAAGTTAGCCCACGCCAGGCCCCTTCCAACCAGCAGTCTGAGCCCACAGAGGGAGAAGGCACCCACGTCTGGGGCAGACCGGGCGTGCAGAAGAGTGTGCCTGAGACCGGATGCACAGATACTGCGTCCCGCTTCACCATTTTAGATCAGGGACATTTCTTCAGTAAAGACTGCCTAAAACCAGCAGAAAGCTCCCCCAGAAGCCAGAGATGGCTCCTGAAGGAGCCAGAGGGGAGCGGAGAAGTTCACCCAAGATGCTGGCCAGTCCGAGCAACACAGTGTCCCAATGCATACGACAAATTAGAAAACAGACAGTAGGGAGTAGAAGAACCACACGCAACCTAACAACTCCTCAGGAAAAAAGCACACCACAAAAAGAAAACCACCTCCCAGATTGCAACGACAGTAACTTGGAAGAACTTCTGAGCCTTCCAGAAAGAGAATTTAAAATTGCCGTGATTAAAAAAATGACAGAACTCATAAAGGAAAACAATGATCAGAAGAAGGAAATTGAGTCCCTAAAGAGGGAAGTAAAAGAAATGCAGGAGATCAAAGAATTAATGGAGGAATTAAGAACTCTGGGAAAAGCAATGAAAGCAGAATAGATGAAATGGAAGAACGAATAAGTACTCTTGAAGACACAGAAAAAGAACCAAAAGAATAAAAAGAACAAAAACAGAAAAGGAAAGAGAAGTACGAAGGAAAAAGAACGAAGAAAGACTTCGGGAACTATCTGACTCCATGAGGAAAGGAAATATAAGAGTTATAGGAATTCCAGAAGGAGAGGAGAGAGATGTAGGAACAGAGAAAATATTCCAGGAGATAATTGAAGAGAACTTCCCAAATGCGAAGAAGGAGCTGAAAATTGATATACAAGAAGCAAGAAGAACACCAAACTTCCACGACGAAAGGAAAAATACACCAAGACACATAATAGTAAAGCTCCCAAGAATCCAGGAGAAGGAAAAAATAATGAAGCTGACAAGAGGGAAGAAACAGATAACATTCAACGGAAAGCCAATCAGGCTGACATCAGACTTCTCTGAAGAAACACTACGGGCAAGGAGAGAGTGGAGGGACATAGTCAACAGACTCCAAGAAAACAGATGCCAACCAAGAATACTCTATCCCGCAAAGCTCTCCTTCCTCTATGAAGAAAGAATAAGGACCTTCCCAGACAAACAGAAACTCCGGAATTTCATTACGACTAAACCCCCACTCCAAAAAATACTACAAGGAATCCTAAAGCCAGAACCTCAGAGGGACGAATAACAACGAAAGAAGACAAAAAAAAAAAAAAAAAGTTATTAAAAGAATAAATAAAATCAAAGGAAAGACAAACACAATGGCAAATACAGATACTAACATATCAATATTAACTCTAAATGTAAATGGACTAAACTCTTCAATAAAAAGACACAGAGTTGCAACCTGGATTAAGAAACAAAACCCAACCTTTTGCTGTCTCCAGGAAACATATTTAGCTACAAAAGATAAAAATAGGCTCAAAGTTAAAGGATGGAAAACAATCCTACAAGCGAATGGAAAGAAAAAAAAAGCAGGAACAGCTATACTTATATCAGATAAAACAGACTTCAAACTCAAAAAAATAAAAAGAGACCCCAATGGCACTACCTTATGATTAAGGGGACAATACTTCAAGAAGAAATAACACTCATTAACATATACGCACCAAACGAAGGAGCACCAAAATATATCAGATAACTGTTGTCCTCTCTGAAAACAGACATCAGAGAAAACATACGTAGTGGGAGACTTCAACACACCACTATCAACAATGGATAGATCAACAAGACAAAAAATAAGTAAAGAAACTAAAGCTCTAAATAAGGACCTAGAGCATTTGGGCTTAACAGACATCTATAGAACACTAAACCCAAAAAAATCGGAGTACACATTTTTCTCAAGCGCACATGGATCATTCTCCAGGATCGATCACATACTGGGGCACAAGACAGACATCAACAGATACACCAAGATTGAAATCATACCAACCATCTTTTCTGACCATGAAGGCATCAAACTAGAAATAAACCATAAAAAGAAGGCAAGGAACTATCCTACCTCATGGAGATTAAAAACCACACTACTGGAAGACCACTGGACTAACGAGGAGATCAAAGAAGAAATTAAAAAATTCTTTGAATTGAATGACAAGGAGGACACCAATATCCTAAATGTATGGGATGCAGCAAAAGCAGTAATAAGAGGAAAATATATAGCAATAGAAGCTCACATCAAAAAACAAGAAAGAACTCAAAGAAACAACCTAATCTCGAAGCTCAGAGATCTAGAAAAAAACAACAAAAAAACCCCAAAACCAATAGAAGAAAAGAAATAATAAAAACCAAAGCAGAAATAAATGAAATTGAAACTAAAAAAACAATCCAAAAGATCAATGAAACCAAGAGCTGGTTCTTTGAAAAAATCAATAAAATAGACAAACGCCTAGCCAGGCTCACAAAGGAAAAAAGGGAGAAAGCACAAATAAACAGGATCACAAATGAAAGAGGAGAAATCACAACGGACACAGCAAAAATCAAAAGAATAATCAGTAACTACTATGAACAGTTATATGGAAACAAGTTCAACAATCTAGAGGAGATGGACAAATTCCTACAACTCTACAATCACCCAAAGCTAGATAAAGAAGAAATAGAACACCTAAACAGACCAATTACAAGCAGCGAAATTGAAATGGTAATCAAAAACCTCCCCAAAAACAAAAGCCCAGGACCTGATGGATTTAGAAATGAATTCTACCAAAGATTCAGAGACGAATTAGTGCCTATCCTTCACAAACTCTTCCAAAAAATTGAGAAGGAAGGGACAATACCAAACACGTTCTATGAAGCCAACATTACACTAATACCAAAACCGAATAAGGACAACACAAAAAAGGAAAACTACAGGCCAATCTCCCTAATGAACACTGATGCAAAAATCCTCAATAAAATTTTAGCTATCAGAATCCAACAATGTATCCATAAGATAATTCACCACGACCAAGTAGGATTCATTCCAGGGACACAAGGATGGTTTAACATCCGAAAATCAATCAACGTTATCCAACACATCAACAAAAAGAAATATAAAAACCATATGATAATATCAATAGATGCTGAGAAAGCTTTCGACAAAGTGCAACACCCATTCATGATAAAAGCCCTTGAAATTCTTGGGATACAAGGAACATACCTCAACATCATAAAGGCCATCTATGACAAGCCAACAGCCAGTATCATTCTCAATGGTGAAAAGTTGAAAGCAATTCCATTAAGATCTGGAACAAGACAAGGATGTCCACTCTCACCACTGCTTTTCAATGTAATACTGGAAGTCCTAGCCAGAGCAATAAGACAAGAGAAAGACATACAAGGAATGCAAATAGGAAAAGAAGAAGTCAAACTATCACTATTTGCAGATGATATGATAATATACATAGAGAACCCCAAAAACTCCACAGAAAAACTAATTCAACTCATCAATCAATTCAGTAAAGTGGTAGGATACAAAATCAACACGCAAAAGTCAGTAGCCTTCCTATACACAAACAATAAATCTGAAGAAGAAGAAATTAAAAAAAAAAATCCCTTTTAGTATCGAAACAAAAAAAAATCAAATATTTGGGAATAAATCTAACAAAAGAGGTAAAGGACCTATACAAAGAAAACTATAAAACACTGTTAAAAGAAATAGAAGAAGACACAAAAAAATGGAAAGACATCCCCTGCTCATGGATTGGAAGAATAAACATTATTAAAATGGCCATCCTACCAAAAGCAATCTACAGATTCAATGCTATTCCAATCAAAATTTCAATGTCATTCTTCAAAGAAATAGAACAATTATTGATGAAATTCATATGCAATCACAAAAAACCCCGAATAGCCAAAGCTCTACTGAATAAAAAAGAAGGGAATGGAAGCATCACACTCCCAGACTTCAAACTCTACTACAAAGCCATAATCATCAAAACTGCATGGTATTGGAACAAGAACAGACATACAGACCAATGGAATCGAATAGAAAATCCAGAAATAAACCCACAGATTTATGGTCAACTAATCTTTGACAAAGGAGCAAAGACTATGCAATGGAGCAAATAAAGTTTGTTCAATGAATGGTGCTGGGAAAACTGGGTTGCTACATGCAAAAGAATGAAGCTTGACCACTACCTCACACCATACACAAAAATCAACTCAAAATGGATTAAAGAACTAGACATTAAGACCTGAAACCATAAAATACATAGAAGGAAATATAGGCGAAACACTATGTGATTTGCATATCAAAGACATCTTTACAGACACATCACCCAAAGCAGTGATAGTGAAGGCAAAGATAAACAGCTGGGACTACATCAAATTAAAGAGCTTCTGCACAGCAAAAGAGACAATAACAAAAACAAAGAGAAACCCCACCAACTGGGAGAACATTTTTGCACACAACACTAATGATAAAGGACTGATCACAAAAATCTGCAAAGAGCTGATGAGACTCAGCAACAACAAAGAAAATAATCCAGTCAAAAAATGGGCAGAAGAGCTAAAAAGAAACTTCTCTGAAGAGGAAATGCAAATGGCCAACAGACATATGAAAAAATGTTCAACATCACTTGTCATCAGGGAAATGCAAATCAAAACTACCATGAGATACCATCTTACACCAGTGAGAATGGCACATATTAAAAAAACTAGCAACAGCAAATGTTGGCGAGGATGTGGAGAAAAAGGAACTCTTCTACACTGTTGGTGGGAGTGCAAACTGGTCCAACCACTATGGAGAGCTGTGTGGAGATTTCTGGACCTACTAAACATAGAGCTTCCATATGATCCAGCAATTCCACTCCTAGGTATTTACCCAAAGGACACAGAAACATCAATTCCAAAGAACACCTGCACCCCTATGTTTATAGCAGCACTATTTACAATAGCTAAGCTTTGGAAACAGCCCAAATGCCCAAAAATAGATGACCGGATCAAGAAGATGTGGTACATATATACCATAGAATATTACTCAGCATTCAAAAAAGATAAACACATGCAATTTGCAGCAACATGGATGGCGCTGGAAGGGATCATGCTCAGCGAAATAAGCCAAAAAGAAAAAGAAAAATCCCGGATGGTCTCACTCATAGCAGGAATCTAGAAAACTTAAATAAGGGACCAGGAAAATGAATAACTATAAGAAAGTGAAAATCAAAATCAACAAAAAACTATGATCCAGAGACTTTTTTTGCGGGGTGGGGGGCGGGAGGGGAGGGATTGGGGTAGAATGGGGGGTTTGCAATTGTATGGGGGAATATAAAAATAAAATTTATTATTTAAAAAAAAATAAAAGATCAGAATGAAAAAAAAAAGTTCTTGAATGGCAAATAGTAGGTTTAACAACTATGAATAGTCATGAAGAACCTATTATGTTCTAGTTTTGATTGCTGGAGCTAAAATGTTTAAAGAAAATAGACAAAACTACTTATATGGAGATTATTTATCATGGAATCATAGGTCAGTGTTACCAAAAATAAAGCAAGCAAGCAAAGAAATAAGTGGAATAAGGGATAAAAAAACTGATGGAGATTGCTGTTTTAGGTGGATAGTCAGGGAAGATGAAGTAAAAATAAAGCTGACAAAATGAGAGACTCAGATCTGTCTGCATCAGAGGAGGCCTGTGCATGGAGACTTCCCTGGCTAGGCTGCTCATTTAGGAAGGGCAGGAATGAATGACAAAGCAGTCAGCGAGAAGACAGAAGGTAGGTGCAAAGTAATGATGGTCCAGGGGCCTTGCTCACTGAGCAGAGTTTATATATTCATCATTTTTAGCACAATTTAAAATTAAAATGTTCATGCAACCTATGTGATAGGTTGCATAATAGCTGCCAATAAATGGCAGCTATTAATCAACAGGCTGAGAAAATGAGTGAGCAGACATTCATTTATATGTTTACACATAAATGTATAAAAGCAATTCAGCAAACTCAGTACTTTAAATACTAAACAAACTACCTTTTCTTCCATCTCATAATCGACTCCAAATATTGGGCTGGCAGAATAGACTTTGTGAAGTGAGTTAATTTCCTTAACTGATTCTTGTAGTTTTTCTATAGGATCTATTTTAAAGCCAAGAACATATCCTCCACTCTACAAGAAAAAATAAAGAAAAAACAAAAAGGGAGTATGAGGGATGGTATTTATAGTACACAATGAACTATAGTTCCAAATGTCCTTATTTCAGAGCACAATATGTAAACTGAATTTTAGATTAAACTTTAAACATATACAGAAATAGAGTATAATGAGCTTCCGTGCAGCCATCATCAAGCTTTAGTCAGAACAAATGGTCAATTGCATTCTAGCTACAATTTTCCACTCTCTGGGCTTCCCCTGACCCCCAGGATTAATTTGAAGCATATTCAGATTTCATATAATTTTATCTATAAATATAAAAACTGGTATTTCAAGATTTAAGAAATACACTGTAGAATGTGAAGGCCAAAGGGACTAAGTATTTCTTGAGTTATGCTTTAAAAGGAATAGACTGTAATTAAAAGAGGAAGGGGAATGGCATATCTGAGGCTACCTCCTTTAAGAATTAGGGAAGAAACCTGACCATGGAAGGTTTTTGGAGAAGAGTGTTAAAAAAATTAAGTAGTATACTGTAATAGGTAAGAGCATGCGCTTTGGGTTGAAAGCACATGCTTTTGGATTTAAATTCTGGTTTTACAATTAATTTTTATATGCTGCTAGGAAAATTACTTTCTTTGGTCTTTCCAAGCCTCAATTTTCTTATCATCAAATGGTTATTAAGTTACTGTATCAAGATAACGTATATATGGTAGTGCTCCTAGAAGGTAGTAAAAACCCAATAAATGGCAGCTATTAATCAACAGGCTGAGAAAATGAGTGAGCAGACATTCATATATAAATTTAGAAGTAATTTTATAAATATTTTATTTAAATGTATTTTTGTAAAATCTGGCATAATGGGAGCATAGCAGTTTATAATTAGTGTAATCTGTGTATGCAAATATACAATCTTAAACAAAATCTTTGTATATCTGTATATGTCTTAGTTTCTCAAAGGCAGTCTTATGAATTAGTCAGACCTGGAATTAAAACCTAGCCCCACCACTTACTAGTTGTGAGACCATGAGCAAGGTTCCTAACTTCTCCAAGGTTCAGTTTCCTTGGCTGTAAAATGGGGAAAAAATAGTAACTATGTGATAGGTTGCATAATGCATGAAAAGTACAGTGACTTGACTGTCATTAAAAATGATAATCAAGGGATGTGGAGCAGCTCTATCTAGTTAGGTTCAGTTCAGATCAACAATCTAGGGTGTGTAATGTTGTATGAAACATTCATTTTTACCTGTGAATGCTAATGCTGTAGAGTTTACTGTTGTAGTCTATTTTCTATTTAAGAAAGCTACAGCATTAGTGTATAATTATGATGGTAATAAACAGGAATCAGATTTGTTATAATGTGATAATCCCAATGATAAGAAAGATTGTCTGCAACAAAAAAACACAAGCAAGATTCTTCTGATAGGGACAATTACTATATAACTTCCTACTCTTCTCGTAAGTTCATATTATAGCGAATATTCTTGAGTGTAAATTGGTTACTATATAAATAAAACTAAAAATACAGTTTATTAAATAAATAAAGTTTATTAAAGATTAATAGAAACATAAAGTATCTTACCTGCTGAGAGCTTTCTATGACAAGAGCTAAACCAAATTTTGAATCTCTAATCTTTATTGAACGCTTGATGTAAAATAAAAAAGAAAAAAAATGCAGGGTTTATTATTTGATAATAGTGACTCTTTAACACAAGTTTTTCAAGTTTTACACAGTAACTACTTTTCAGTCTAATGAACAGAATTCTCCCTTTTTCCTCCATTACACTGCCACAGAGATCAAGTAAATGAAAATTTTCATACTGGAAACCAGGTGGCAAACTTATAAGACAATACAAAGAAGACATCGCTGACATATGCACAACATTCTCTCACCTGAGGAACCCCCAATTCCAGGGAGTCAAAACTTCTCTGAATATTTTAAGTGAAAGGCAACTAATCTTCATTTAATTATAGACATTCAGTGCCTTTTGTGACTCCTAAAAATGGGTTTATTTTAAAGTCACATGTGCTTTCTATTTCTTACAATTTAAGTTATAATAAAAGAACCTCTTAAAGAACAACCATTCTGGGCCTCCCTGGTGGTGCAGGGGTTAAAGACAACACTATCAAAAAAAAAAAAAACCCACAAAAAACAAAAAACAACAACAAAAAACCAAACAAGTTCTTTAAAAAAAAAAACCCCAAAACAAACAAGTTATGGGCATCAAAGGAAGGCTGGGAGGCTGGGATAGGTCAAATGTAATTAGCATTAATAGGCAAATGTGACATGAGAATTAAGCTTGGCTAGCAGGAAATGAGCAGCGACACCCGTGCCTGGGTAGGAGAAAGGAGTAGGCGCACAATGGTAGGCAGGATCTGCAGTATGTGACACAAAACGTACTTGCTGGAGGGGTTAGTGAGAACCATGGAAGATCTAACATTATGACCAGTAGAACAAAAGCCCAGGAAGTGCAATATGTGGGCACTAAAAGTTGAAAGCTACTGAGAAAGATACAGGAAGGAGGGAGAAAGAAAGAATGGGGTGGGAGGAAGGAGACTAAATACATATATTATGGAAACCTGGCCTTCTGCACTACTCTATACCCCACCACGTATACACACAGTCCCAGTTGAGAATCACAGCACACTGGCGCCCTCACTGTCATCTGGTAATCTAACTGGGTGATTGTGGGTAATCTGTCTGTCTATCTATAGGAGTGGGGTCAGGGCTAAGGCTGTAGAGCTGAAGTTAGAATATGACTGCTGCACTGACAGACTGTGAGGGTATCAGATTGCAATTTGTGGGCCAGGCTGAATTCCTGCCAGAGACCATACTTGGCAACAGTATTATCAAATAACAGAAAGTATCCTATTTGAAGAACAGAAAGCACAAAGTTCTTTACTACTCAGTAATTATTCAGCACAATATAAGTTAGGTTAGGCAAATCATAATACATGTAAATGTAACATGAAACAGCAATGAATAACCAAACACTAACTTAACAAATTAGATTCTGTAGTCTTCCCAGTGACTATTATAAGTCCTTATATTTCTTTAGATCTCAGAAATAACTTTCCTCCTATTATGTTTCTATGATTTTCTGCTTCTTGTGTGGTTTTACTAGACTGAAAGTTCCTTGATGGTGTGAACTGTGTACTGGCTCATGATTTTCATGACTGTATGGCTGTACTCAATACATGACAAATGAATGATCAGATGCTTTTAAAGATACTCCGAAATCAAGCAATTTAGCAAAATATAGGTTTGGGAATATTTTGCAAAAAAATTCCTCTCAGAGGTCAGGAAGTCTCTTTAAAAAATGGTATTTTCCAGATATCACATATGTTGTATTTACTCAACTGTTTAGTCTTGAGACTACTTACATCCTCCACGAATGGTGATTATCATAGGACAATCTCCCAAGATTTTCAATGATTATTTTTATGTTCCACCTAATTTGCACCAGAGTATTATAGTAGTTTAATATATAAAATAAAATTCTTCAGTTTACTGAAGTTTACTATTTGTTTCAAAGACTTACATACTCATTATGGCAGCAACAAAGTAAAAAGAGCCACTTTTATCTGTTTCCAAAGCAAACTGGTCTCAGATGTAGCTAGTTCTTATTATGAATTTTCACAGTTTTATTTGAATTTAAGCTAAAGCCATTATCACTAAAACCCAACCTTGAATATGAAAAAAGCTAAAATAAAGTGTGTGGATCTGCATTTTAAAGCCATGCTAAGGAATGACTCTATACCTTGTGAAAAGACAACAGAAAACCTGAGTAAGTTTAGTAAAACTTTTTTTTTTTTTTAAGATTTATTTATTAATGCATACAAGAGCTGGGGATGTAGGCCACAGGTGCTGAGAGACAGAGTGGGGAGCAGAACAGGCAGATTGAAATATACTGCTGAGAGGAGCAGCAGGAGAGACAGGAGAGGTCTGCGGTGCCATGCGGGTTAGCTTCCTGGCTGGGGATTGCACTCTTGCTGTGGTGGCGGTGGATATTTTCATAGTGCAGAGACTTAACCCCTTGTGCCACCAGGGACGCCCCTGGTAATACTCTTTGAATGGAATCTATGAAAGGCCTATCTTGCAAGGATAACTGTTAATGTTTGTAGATTTCATTATATTTCTCTCAACAGCAAGGTTTTCCCTTTGAATACAAGCACAATGGGTCTTTTCTGTGTCAAAATAGTAAATTATCTACATTTTAAAATATATCTCAGCTAAACTGCCGTAAAAAGGTAGAGTGAGAACTTAGTTAATCCTAAATATCCTATAAACTGTTGAACAAAAATTATTCTAGGTTAAAATAAGGTTACCTTTATTTTAATGAAGAGGAAGAAAAACCCAAACTCACATGTATATGTGTGTGAAAGAGAAAGTGTGTGTTTGCGTATGATTTGTGAGTTGTTAAGCATGTGTGTGTTGTGAACATGTGTGAATGTGTGATGTCTGTGTGAGAGTAATTTATGTAAAACATAATTCAAACAACTGTGAATGAATGAATGAAATTGAATGTAAATTCAATGAACTGATGCAATTCTGAATGGAAATAGAACTGTTTATCTTGTTACAATAGTTATTGAACTTGTTTTAGCTCTAAGGACAAATAAATTTTGGATTCATATACCTATTATGAAACAAACAGTGCATGAAATCAGAAAAAATAAATCACCAAAATGCATGTACTTACAATTTGCAGATATGGTATACTGACATTGAAACTGTCATTCATATTTGCATGCCACACAATTCTCACATTGGTAATAAAAAAGGTTCCTAAATTTCCCTGTAAAAGGGAGTAGTGAGAGACATAACAATAATCATTTCTTTAATATTTATTCCTTAAATTCTAAATACTAGAATAATTCTGATTATCACAGCATCAGAAAATACTATTCTTGAGTATTACAGAGCACTAATGACTTCATCTTTCATTAGCTGGCAGGGCAGTACAATTAGATAATTGAAATCTGGGCCCTAATCAATACAATCTCAGCACTCCCCAGCTGTCTGACTGGGCAAATTTCCTGGTGCACTATGTCAAATGCAAAATGGAAATCTGACTAAATAATACACACACATATAGTCCTCAGCAAAGTGTCTGGCACAGAGGAAGCATTCTGCAAGTCTCAGATCTTACTATAACTAATTTTCAAAATGTGGGATAATTCAAGGTAAGATTCAAGTTGTAGTGACAGAAAACACATATGATAACCTCTATCAGGACACAGGAGATATTTTATGGGACTTTTACGTTAACTGTACATCAAAACTATTCTCTAGTTACATGGCCCTTCAACATCTATTCAAAAATTGTTTCAATGTGATAGTGAAGTGGCCTGAAAATATCTTCCAGATCTAATGATATGCCACCAAAATTATCTGCCACTACCATCTATCATTATCCATCTCTACATCCACCGCTCCCCTATCACTACACTCAGAGGAATTTATTTTATACTTTGCTTCCTGACCCCTTTTCTGATACGACTGGTTTGAGGTGTCAGAAAAGGCCACTTCTCTCCCAATTACATTTAATAAATATATTAAGGTGAATAAATAAAACATGTTTTCTCCTTCCATTCTCATATTGCAAGAAATTTTTATAGTTAGCCTCCAATATTCCCGGACCACATCCCACTGACCAATACTAAGTCTAACTTTATAAAGAATAATTTTTTAAAGAACAAACCCATGTGCATCATTCTCTATTAAAGGCTTACAAAATGGCCGCTCAGTTCCATCCCTTTCCCAAAGTAAGGAAGGTGTAAACAGGACACAGAAATACTAGGATGCAAATTGATGATTGAATAAAGAATTAAGTATTATGAGAAAAAAGAAAGAATAATTCTTTAAGTTATTGTTTCCTCTTAATTAATTTTAATTTTTTAAAAGATTTATTTATTTATGCATACAAGAACTGGGGTACAGGCCAGAGATGCAGGGGGGGTGAGAGGATTCACCAGAGACAGAGTAGGGAACAGAATGGGCAGACTGATTGAAATACACTGCTGAGGGGAGCAGTGGGCAAGACAGGAGAGGTCTGCCTCACCATGTGGATTTCTCCCTGGCCAGCTGGGGATAGAACTTGTGCTGCAAAGGCTGTGGATTTCTTCATAGTGTGGTGCTTAACCCCTTGCGCCACCAGTTGTTTTCTGTTTCTAAATTAAGAGGAAACAGGGCCTCCCTGTGGCTCTAGGACTAACCAGATGTGTGAAGTCAGGTGGGGCCTCAGTTTTTCATTTCTGGGTGAAAGGAGAGTGAACTAGATAATCTCTAACATCCATTCCTGCTGTAAATTCTATATAGAAAAATACTGCTTAAAAAAGCACAAAACCAGGAAAATATGAAGATCAGAATATTATTTTATATCGAGTTTTACCGCTAACTTATCAAAAAGTATAATGCTAATTTTAATATTAAGAGGTCAGTGTACAAACCCAAGTATGAGTAGAAAAAATAATTCCCAAAGTACTGCCCTTGGGCCTCCCTGGTGGTGAAAGGGGTTAAGACGCAACCCATGAAGCTATCCACAGCCACTGCAGTACGAGTTTCATCCCCGGCCAGGGAGCTGCCCACATGGCGCAGCAGACCTCTTCTACCTTGCCCGCTGCTCCCCTCAGCAGTGTATTTCAGTCGATCTGCCTGTTCTATTTCCCACTCTGTCTCTGATGAATCCTCTCACCTCCCACACTTCTGGCCTGTACCCCAGTTCTTGTTGCATAAATAAATAAATCTTTAAAAAAAAAAAAGTACTGTCCTAAAAGTTTCATTATTTCTTTTTTTTTTTTTTGTGGGACCCTCGCCAGCGGCCGGGGAACGAACCGGCGCTACAGAGGCTGCGGGCAGCCTTGCAGCCCAGTGCTCAACCACTGCGTAACCAAGGGAGGCCCTCATTATTTCTTTGCACAATACCTGATCACTGGATAAATTCCATACTCCATTGATTTTATCATATACATGTTCTTGTGGTAATAACCTTAATTGCTTATTTTGAATTAGTGCACTTCTCAATTTAAAATCACGATACATTTTAGAAGTTTCATATGCTCTATAAAAAAGAACAAACAAAAGGTTAACCCAAACTGAAAATGTGGATTTCTTAGGTTATGGTTATTTACCTACTAAAATATATGCCTGTTAGTATATCACTATGTACATCATTCAAATAATTATTAAATTAAAATGTTTTCATTTCAGTAAGTTTTGATGATTTACAGTCTTCTAAAACTAAAAAATTTGGGATAACATTGGCTTATAACACTATGTAAGTTTCAAGTGTACAGCGCTATAATTCTAATCTGTAAAGACTATATCATGATCACCAACAACAGTATTGCCTGTCCATCACTATACACTTGACTCCTTTATTCATTTCACCCATCTCCCAATCCCCTTTCCTTCTGGTAACCACCAATCTATTTTCTGCATTTAAGAGTTTGTTTTTATTTCATTTGTTCATTTGCTTTCTTGCTTTATATTCCATGTAAGAATGAAAATATATGGTTTTTGTCTTTCTTTGTCTGATTTACTTCACTTAGAATAATATCTGTCTAGGTCCATAAATGTTGTCACAAATGGCCAAATTTTCATCCTTTAAAAAATTTTTTTTAAAGATTTATTTATTTATACATACAAGAGCCAGGGTATAGGCCAGAGGTGTGGAGGGTGAGAGAATTCACCAGAGACAGAGTGGGGAACAGAACAGACAGATCGTGACTGAAGTATACTGCTGAGGGCAGCAGCGGGCGAGACAGGAAAGGTCTGCTGTGCCATGTGGTTTGCTCCCTGGCCCACCAGGGATCAAACTCGTGCTACAGAGCCTGTGGACAGCTTCACAGGCTGGGTCTTAACCTCCTGTGCCACCAGGGAGGCCCTAAAATTTTTTTTTTTAATAGCTGAGTTTTCCATTTTGTGTGTATATTCATATACATACATATAAAACAACTGGTGATTACAGTCTTTTGTAGACTTTGTTGTTTTAGTGCAGTATTTACACATTTTATCTCAGTAATCTTTTTAGATGTCTAATTCTTTTTTTTCTTAGATGTCTAATTCTTAAGGCAATATATATCACACAGCTCAAACAATTGGAAACATTTCTTCTCTAAGCTGAAAACCAATACTTGCACATATATATGAAATTTTCTTTCTATCAAAATGCTTTATTTCTGTTTTAGTCAAAGGCATGACTATTATTTTGACATAAACAGGAGACAAATTACTTTTCTCACTGCAACCTGAAAACATCATGCTCACACCTACCTCTGTAACAGAAAATCAGAATGAATACCAATTCCAAAGGCATTCTAGGAGATTGTATGTACCTATGTATATAAATTTCCTATAACTTTGTCTTCATTCCATATCTCCTATTGATAAACTATACAAAAGAAAATTCTGATTATTTTTGATTAGTTAATTCTAATTTTATTCCAAAAAATGTAGGCTAATTTACCCATTTAAGAGAACTAGTTTTTTAAAGTCTAAATAGCTTTATATTAAGAAGTCATTTATACAAACTATAATATACATTGTTAATTTCTCATTTTCACTCTAATTAACCTTCAATATGAAAATTGTGAAAGAGAAGGAATGGAATATTTGTCTGTAAATATTAATTTCCTTTAAAGCTGTAATAATAATTAACAAATGCAAAAAAAGGAAACTATGCTGTTTAAGGGAAACACATAACATTTTCATACTATTTAAGAAAAGCTTCTTCCATGCCCCCTTCATACTCCATTTAAAATGTTTCATCTTGGGCCTCCCTGGTAGCACAAAGGTTAAGACCCAGTACTATGAAGCCACTGGGGCATGAGTTCGATCCCTCGCCAGGGAGCTAATGCACATGGCGCAGCAGGCCTCTCCTGTCTTGCCCGCTGCTCCCCTCAGCAGTGTATTTCAGTCAGTCTGCCTGTTCTGTTCCCCACTCTGTCTCTGGTGAATCCTCTCACCCCCTGCACCTCTGGCCTGCACCCCAGTTCTTGTATGCATAAATAAAAAAATCTTTAAAAAATAAATGTTTCATTTCATACTGCCTCTCTAAGTAAAATGAAATAAAGAGCTATGGTTTAGGAATAGATGCCCACTAAAGCTGAAAAATTGTATACAATGTTCATAACATTATTCACAATAGCTAAAAAGTACAAATCACCCAAATGTCCATCAACTAATGAATGGATAAACAAGATATGTATCTATATAATGGTGGAACTGTCTTTTTTTTTTTTTTTTTATAGAGGCATTTTTTTTTTTTTTTATTTATTTATTTGTTTGTTTGTTTTTGTTTATACATGCACTGGGTACAGTCAGAAGCACGGGAGGGTGAGAGAATTCACCAGAGCCAGAGCGGGGAGCAGAGCAGGCAGAAGGACCGAAGCACACTGCTGAGGGGAGCAGCGGACGGCAGGAGAGGTCTGCGCACCATGTGGGACCCTCCTCCGGTGGCTGGGGAACAGCCGGGGATCGAACCGGCGCCGCTGAGGCCGCGGGCAGCTTCGCAACCCAGCGCTCAACCGCTGCGCCACCGGGGAGGCCCTGTATCTATATAATGGAATATTATTCAGCTACAAAAAGAAATGAAGTACTGACACATGCTACACCATAGACAAACCCTGAAAAACATAATTTTTTACAAAAATTTATAAAAGCAGACAGACTTAAAAGACCATGAAATGTGTGATGCCACTTATATGAAATGACCAGAATAGTCAAATCCATAGTGACAGAAAGTAAGTCAGTGGTTTCCAGGGTTATGAGGGAGGGAGTGGGAGGAAATAGCAAGGGGAATTTCTTTTTGGCATGATGGAAATATGCTGGTATTGGACAGAAGTGACAGTTGTACAAACTTGTGAATATAATAAACAAATCAAACTGTAAAATGATAAACTTAGTTAAGTGAATTATACCTAAAAAAATGAAACCGTCATAGAGATTAAAATAGCCACAAAATTAAAGATCAAATAACTAGGAAACAAAAAAAATAAATTTGCAACAGATATGACAGAGGGATCATATTTAAGAAACTTATATAAAAAACTATAGAGCCAAAAAACATGAAAAAATTCAACATTCCTATATAAGAAATTCAAATGAAAATACAATATAAAGGAAAAGACCCCCAAATGTCTTTTGCTAGAAAAACAATCTTTTTAATTAATTAATTGATTGAACTTGGATTGAATGAATTCCTATTTCACTGTTAACTATCCTGGCAGCTAATTTAATAGAATGTTCAGTAGAAGTATGTACTAATCTTCAGTATACTTATGTGTCTTATAAATGCCTTCAAAGCGTTTATTGAATGATAGTGCAATGTGTTTAAATATCCTTAGGTTATCTATAATGGAGTTTGAAGGAAGATAGCATCATACTTCTAAACTTTATTCGTTAGACCTTAATTTCATAGAATTACCTTAAAAATATTAAATAATCCATAAACATCAAGCATTACCATACCTGTGTACTGCAATAACCGAAGTAAAAAGTCTAGGACTTCCAGGAACCAAATTTGTAAATATAAACTCAAAACGAGAACTGTTACACTTTGTTAGTATGTAAAGTGCTTCTGTTTGGCCTCGTAATTTCTGTAAGGACAAATTTTTTTAAAACTTCAGACTTTAAGAGCAAATCCCCATCACAGTAAAAACAGACATCAACCTCATATAACTGCATATAACTTCATATAACCTCATATAACTTCACTGCATACATATTTCAATTTTTTGAACTTACAGAGTTAGCAGTCCTTGTTGTAATATTCAATATGCAGTTGTAACCGATAGCTAAAATTGAAAAGCAAAGAATTTAAAGAACATGATATAATAAACTGAGAATAAAGTCTACATATACAAAACTTTTTCAGCTTAAGAAATTAAATATATATAAAACCACAACTTTTTAAATAATTTATGAAACAACTTCAAATTAAAGTTCGATAATTAGAAGAACTGGAAATTCTGCCTCTGAACAAACAAAAACATTCCTAACATGGAAAAAGTAAGTTTTTGCCTCTAAAATCTGTACAGTATTATTTCTTGAAAAATTTTAGCACCATTATATCAAGATAAAAAGTCTGGCTGAATAAATTAAAATAGTTAAAAAAATAAGTGAAGCAAAATTTAACACAATGAAAGGTTGTACTTTTATTATTAGAGTTCAGATCTCTGTTCTTTGGGATTACTTGAAACAGATTATAGGACGTTCTCAAAATAAGTAGAAAAACAAAACAAAAATCAATTTAAAAGCACTAATTTTATAGATTTCCAAGAGAAAACATGAATAGACTGAAAAACATTTCTTTTGCATTATGATGCAGTCTGTGGCTTGTCTGTGAAGCTTTTTATCAATTTAAATTTTCCACATATTTCATGGTATAGCTTTTTTTGACATCAAAAGCACTATGCAAGTTCACATGACAAAAAGTTTTTTTCCTTTAGTGTTATCTATCAAAGATACTTACAAAGATTGACTCTGGGTAATGCCAAAGAGTGCCAGATAATTCTTAAATTTGTTACCAAGAGTCTTCCTAAAAACAAGCAAACAAAAATAGGTTACCTTAAGGACCCATTTTTACAACAGAATGAAGTAGACATGGAACTTCTAATCCAGTATCTGCAGCAAAATTCATAGATGAATTTTATATACTTATTAACTGAAAATATTTATTGCAGGGACTCCCGGGTGGCGCAGCCGATTGAGTGCAGCGCTGTGAAGCTGTCTGCAACCTCTGCAGCGCCGGTTCGATGTCGGCCAGGGAGATTCCCATATGGTGTGGCAGACCTCTCCTGTCGCACCCACTGCTCCCCTCAGCAGTGTATTTCAGCCATCTGCCTGTTCTGCTCCCCGCTCTATCTCTGGTGAATCCTCTTACTCTCCCGCGCTTCTGGCCTGTACCCTCTTGTATAAAAATAAATCTTTAAAAAAAATATTTATTGCATATATCTATCCTATGTTAGGTATGCAACATACGATTCAGAATCCCAGATGAAAAAAACTGAGGTTACACCACGAACCCATCTCTCCAACAAATTATAACCACAGAATTCTTTTGATGTGTAACCTATAGCTGGGTTATATTATTTCCTTCCTGAAAACTTGAATATCAAAAGAAGAGGAACTAGGCTTGTAGTAATACTGAGGTGAGATGGGCCAGGAAGTTCTAAAAATATAGAAGAGGTATTCTTATGAGAAATTGTGAAAAATATATGATATGTTTGACAAGTAATAAATAATCCAGTATAAGGCTCGTAGATCATAGAGAAGTAAACATTTCATCTATCAGTCAAGGTCCAACAGTGAGCTGATGGCATACTTGAATTCGGATAATTGAAGTTTACTTGCGAAAGGACATATGGATAGGATGTCAGGAATCTAAATGAGTGCAGTAGATCTGCTACAACCCCAGGCCCAGAGGCACAAGGATACGAGGCAGTTCACCAAACCTGGAAGGAGACTTACAGAGGGTGAATGCCTTGAGAGGAAAAAACCAGGGGAATAAACGCCAGCCTCACTCTCCTGTTTCCTTGGATCTCCTGCTATTGCTCTTCTAAGGAAGCTAGAGTACACAAGGGGCCTTTTGATGTAGTCTGTACAAGAATCTTTCCAGGGGACAGGGAAAAGGGTGGAGCAGGATGCTGGCTCTAGAAGCACAAATGGAAGACGGTGACAGAAAAAAGTTCTTTAGTTTTATACCAAGGAATTCAGATCAGTTAGCAGTTGAGGCAATGAAGTTGAGATAGGGTTTAGAATTGACACTGGTGAGAAATAAACATTTTGAGAAGAGAATAATGTGATTCCAGCAGTTTAGAGAGCAATGTAATCAGTCTGGGTCATCTCTTAGTAGCTATGTGATATTGGAAAAGTTAATTAATTTCTCTGTGATTTAGGTATTTTGTTTGAAAAAAATAATACAACTGTATGTTTTATTTACTTTTACTTTTATTATTATAAAATAGATTATAACTCATACACACACATAATATATGACGGATGTGGAACAATGACTGGCAAACAGTAAACATTCAAGATGTTAACTGCTATTTAAAAAAATTTTAGTTCTTTAGAAACATATTTTATGATTTATTTTGTTATCGTACATACACTGGTTCATGTTTTCCTTATGCCATTTCACCTAGGTAACATTATATCTTTACTACAGGTCTATGAGCCCAGCACATCTATTGATTTTTTTTTTTTAATATTTTCCTATTAGAAGAGCCCAGGAAAAATAGGAAGAGTTTGTCTTATAAAATAGGAAGAGTTTGTCTTATCTGCTTTTCTTCTCTTGGTACATCTATAAGTCTCTTGCATTTTCATGTTGCCTCTTTTCTGCTAAAGGAACCGATCCTATACCTCTTATCCCAGTGTTCCAGGCATGGGCTTTTCTCTATTTTCTTCCAAATACCAACACATAAAATTGTCCCTGTTTCTCCTAATCTCCCTGTTTTCATTTTCATACAGCTTCAGTATGCAAAGCTAATCTGATCACTTCATGTTAGAGTACTTACAGCCGAAGTGGATATAAAGTGCCCATCTTTTGGAGCATTTATGGTTGTGACATGGGGTTTCCTGGACTTAGCAATGCCTTAATGTAGCAATTTTCAAACTACTGGAATGGAGGGAAAGGAGATGACTACAAGACAATTTCCTTTCCTTTCCCACATTCTTTTCAGCCAGAAATTCTGCACACTCCTGTAAAATTCCATAAAGATTTCTAAGGGGTGAGCATATTTTTATTAATAGTAAGATTTCAGACACTATGATGGTGATTTTTGGCCAGAGAGATGTTTTGCCCTTCCTACTACAAAGCACTAGTATAGGATTCTACAACTGAGGAATACTTGATAATCTGAAAATGTTCTATTATCCACAAACTTGGTTTGGACTGGTGGGGTGACTATCACATACAAGTTCCCACCGATCTATGAGGGCAACCAAAATTTCCTCTGCTTCCTCAAGTAAATTCAATTCGGTTTTGTCAAGAAAAAGTTATCTAGAGATTATTATTTAACCCTTAAAGGCACAAACTAAAACATCTTGTTTGTGTTTCTAGAGTACAGCTGCTGCATGTGGCCTGGACTTTAAAAATTTCCAGTGATGGAGAAATTTGATTAGGAAGGGAGGTACTCTAATGTCTAGAATTGGCTGCTCCTCAGTGACAGTTAGAAATGTCTCAGAGAATTTTCCAGTATCTGATCCACAGAGACTTCATAATATGGCACTAAACTTGCTCTCCACATGTTCTTCTCTAGGTGTCAATCTTAGGGGACTGTGCATTACTCTTGAATTCTCTTAAAAAGAAGCATGATTCCAGCTAGCACAGCTATGGCCTACTTATGTCCACTATCCCATATTATTTTTGTGGGAAGGCAGAGCCTAAGATCATGGGCCATTTACAAGGTCTCCTAGAATTTGAACAGTTATATTAGGTAATGCTGATGTCAGAAACCAGGACTTACTGAAGGATCAAAGATCTAAGGGGGAACATCTATTTTGTCATACAGATTTAATATCTACCTTTTCTTGAGTTTAAGTCTGAGAAAAGTTTTATGTTGATTTAACTCTCACCTTCTCACAATTACATTTACATATAATGCTGTTTCCTGTCTTATTCTCCAGCTAATATGATTTAACATTTGTAAATTAAACCAGAAATATAAAATACATTATAAAACATACTCACCCCTATCCCCATTATTTCCTTTGGTGTCTTCAATTGAATCTAAACAATCAATAAGGACTTCTCCAGGTCTTGTTTTCATTTGTCTAAAATAAATGTAAAGCCTTTAATTTTATAGCTACAACTATACCTGCCTATAATCCAATTAGAGAAACACATAGGCATATAAAACAGTCAAAAGTATAAATGATACAGTACCAAATGCTCATGCACTTGAAAATAAGGTTGTCAAAAACTTCAAGAACCCAGAGATGGGGCCTGGCATAGTCAGGGACACATAGAACAAGCCAGAATTGGAACAGGTAGGATTTGGAGAAATAAGAAAGAAGAAACAATGGTTAAAGACCAGTAAAAGGAAATAAGAGAAAGTGAGAAAATTGGCTTGAATGGGGAAGGTCCATATTAAGAGGTAGGGAGATATATACAGTGGATAAGTAAGGAGGAGCCAGATTATGGAGAACCTTATTCTTTGGACAGTGAAGAGCCCTCTAAAGGGTTCTGAGTAAAGGAAAGAAGGTAAGTGATTATGGAAGGTATGGGTTAAAGCAAAGCATCATCAGGAGTTGGTAAATAATCAGATAAAGGAGACAAAGGTAATAAAGAATGAAGCATAGAACCAAAGTAAGAGATTATGTGGTAGGACCATCTAACACATTCTCTGGAGTCAACTCAATTACCTACTGAAAATACAGTATGATCATTATCATTTCCCTGCCTAGACATCTTTCACATCATTCCATTGCTTAAAAGATGAAGTCCAAAAGCCTCAGAAAAACATTTCCCAATTTAAATAATCTATGTGTACATCCATCATCTGCCTGCCAGACCCTGCCTTCTAACCAATGAGGTTTATATCTCTAACACTGCTTTAAATGTTTATTTTTCTTTCCATCTTCTCTTCTTTTTGGAACACTATCCTACTGTCTACCCTAACAAGGTCCTGCCTATTCTTCAGGGCTCAAATAGTATTTCTTCTTTGAGGCTGTCCCCAGACAGAATGAACTGTTCTGTTTCTATGATTCCCCATCTTTTCGTTTTTCAGGGTAGTATTTACCACCCGTGTTATAATTAGTTGTCTATGAATAAATCTCCTGCATTAGAATGGGGAGAGGATATCATTTGCTATTATTTTTGTATCTCCAACCATCAGCATAGTAACCAGCACATGGTAAACATTTGATAAATATTTTGTAAACTGAAATGTTATAAAATAGATCTCTGGATTAAGAAGCTTCTGAATATAACAGAAAAAGTTAGAATACATGCAATATGTAACTATGGTTTATAATTTTATAAATCCTTTTGCCCCATAACTTCATCAAGGATCTAAGACCATTTTAGTATTAGGTATTACTTACAACTAAGCCTGGAAAATTAACCAAAAATTTATTTTCCATATAAGGAGGTTCTGTTCATAAGGGATCATAAATGGTTAGGAAACTCCATACCATTGACCCAAGAACCTTAGCTTTACTATTTCCCAACATTAAATAGCCCTAATGGAGATATTTTCCCTTGATTTGGATGCAGGAGGATCCTAGCTATTTTCTCTTTAAAGCATGAAAATTTTCCAAAATTAGGGCTTTTGCTTGAGAGGCTCCAAAAAATGGGGCTCCTTCTCCCTGTTGTTGATTTATATGAGCAGCTAGATGAAGCTTACCCTGGAAATAAAGTCTGTCTGGTTAGGAATTTTGCAGAATGCTTTCTCCCCCATCCCTTATTTTACAGACAGGGAGATTTAGGTTTAGAATGAAGTCATTTGTCTAAAAGCATACAATGTGTGTTGTTATTTCAAAGACAGTTTTAGCAACCCGGTTTCCTCAGACCATGCTTACGTCTGTCCCCTCTATGAAACGGACAGCCCGGGTGGCGTACAGGGAGCCCCAGGCGGGGTTGGTCCCTGTCGTGCTAGGGTTCAGTTTCCTGAGAGGTTCTCCGCAGCAAAAAGGCTTAAGGATCTCACGGGATCAAAACTGCAATCTAGATGCATGCCGGCGGGGACGCGGGCCTCGGGAGGGTCGCAGGGCCTGGGGCAGTCTGGGGTCTAGAGGTGCGAACTACAGGAGAAAACCTCCCGCCCCCCTCTCGAGGGCCGAGAACTGCAGCGGCGCCGTCGCCCCCCGCGGGACCTGCAGTCGCGCCGCGACCCCCTCAACGGGCTCAGGTCCCAGGGGAATCTCCGCAACTCACTGCGAGGACACGTCGAAGCGGACATCTCGGTCCTCCCAAAGTGCGTCCAGCACCGACATGGTGACTGAGGCCTGCTGTCGGCGCTTTCCGCAATAGTGGAAGCCGAGAGGCGTGTCGTCGGCTCCAAGGCAACGGGAGCGGTCCCGAAATCTACGGTGGGCGCCGAGACTCAAATTTCTTTGAGCGAGCGCGTGCGCTTTCCTCGCCACTGTGGCGTCACCGAGCGGATCTGAGGCGCGAGGCGGGATTCTGCGGCGCCAAGAAGCGGGGCTGACCCGGCACTGGGGTGTGTGTTTGACCCCTAAGTGACCTTCCTTGCTTTTAAACCGACGTCGTTAAACCCACTCCTCCATTTCTCTGCACAGAGAAGACAAGAAATTTAAACGGAACACACCAAATTCTTCACTTCACCCCGCCCGATCTCTTGCAGTCCACACCCCCGACCTTGCTGCCCTCTTTGTTTCTGATTCATGCTCCTCAGGCGTCTGGCGGGGCGCCCCTTTCTTTTTTTTTTTTAAGATTATTTATTTATTTATTTATTTATTTATTTATTTATTTATTTATTTATTTATTTATACAAGCACTGGGTACATTCAGAAGCGCGGGAGGGTGAGAGAATTCACCAGAGCCAGATCGGGGAGCAGAGCAGGCAGAAGGACCGAAGAACACTGCTGAGGGGAGCCGCGGGCGGCAGGAGAGGTCCGCGCACCACGCGGGACCCTCCTCCGGTGGCCGGGGAGCAGCCGGGGATCGAACCGGCGCCGCAGAGGCCGCGAGCAGCTTCGCAACCCAGCGCTCAACCGCTGGGGGCGCCCCTTTCTTGATTTGGAACTTTTGTTTCCTCTGTATAGTCCTTTGTCACTTCAGACTCCTCACTAATAACTGAGACAGCCCCGGATCTTTCTGTCCCTCTACTGTATGAGTCTTGAGGACAGGGCCTGATCTATCCAGTTAGCTTTTTTTTTTTTTTAAAGATTTATTTATACAAGAGCCGGGGTACAGGCCAGATGTGCGGGACGGTGAGAGGATTCACCAGAAACAGAGCGGGGAAAAGAACAGGTAGATTGATGAAATACACTGCTGAGGGGAGCAGCGGGTGAGACAGGAGAGGTCTGCTGCGCCATGTGGGACGGCCGGGATCGAACCCGCGCTGCAGAGGCTGCGGACAACTTCACAGGGCGGTACTCAACCGCCGGCGCCACCAGGGAGGCACCTATCTACTTAGCTTTAAACAGTGCGGAGCACAGAGCAGGCACTTAATACTTTTTGAGTGAAAATGCCTTCCCGCCCTCAACGCATGATAATTCTTTTAATCAGTTGTTCTCAGAGTGTCATCTTGGAACCCTAGGAGTTCCTGAATGAAGTTGAAAGCGGATCTTTTCCCCATTAAAACTTCTAATGTGGATTTAGCCCCAGGAAATGCCTGAATTGCAGCCTGGTGTGATCCTAAGCAGAAAACCCAGGTAAGTTATGCTTGGACGTCTGCTCTACAGAACCAGGAATATAATAAATGTCTTGTTTCAAGCTGTTAAATTTGTTTTGCAACAATTTAAAGGTAATTCAAATTTGGAATCAAGAGTGATAAACTTAATATAAGAAACTATTAGACCCAACAAAATTCTGCCAGCAAGCAGGCTGATAAAATTACTCACCTGTAAACACATGTTACCTTTCATGAAAAAGCTAGGATGACTGAGTACAAACCCAAGTGCCCAGAGGACAGAACTGAGAAGCATGGTATATTGCTTCTAGACCTTAGAATGTAATGAAAACCCAACATTTGCCTGGATGGATATCAGAATTGTTATGTATCAGTGGCTCATCTTTATTTTCCATTTCCCCCTTTTTGAAATGAAATGTCTCTAATTATTTTTCTGTGCCTGTTCCAACATTATATGGTGGGACATTCCATAAGCCAAGATGTATTTTATAACCATAAGATTTTTTTAAAAAGTCTAAAATCTAGCATTTCCATAACATAAAATACGGTTCAGTGTAAATGTTTACTCTTTGTTCAATTAGGTGGCAATTGATGCTGACTGAAATACATTTCTATCTTAAAACGAAATTATTGCCCTTAGAGGCAACTTACCATGTCCAACTGCTAGAATATTGATACCAAGCAAGAAATAGTTACATTTGTAATATTTAAGTTAGGTCTATTCCTTACTTTTTATGTGAAGAGAATTATTAAATACTTTTCACAAATTCCTGAGTACTTTGGAAGCTTAAGTACTGCACAAACTTAAAATATAAACGAGCTACCAGAGGGTTTTAATGTGACTATAAGCATTTTTATTTTAAAACACTTAATCTGCATACTGAAATGTTGAATTTATAAAATCCTTTTTTCTTTTGTTGAACAAAGATTTTCTTTCCATAAAGAAGTTGTGGAATCATTTTAAACTTATGCAAAATAAAATGAAACATTATGGCTTATGTACAAGATATTCTATGGGACGTGTTGCTAGACATCACGAAAGATGTATTAAGAAACAGTGCTTTCTTTTATTACTGAAAAGGCACATACTGCTCCTGCAATTGGATGATACATAAAAATTCTCAACCTGTGACTAACTTCAGCAATGAATATATGCTTTTAATAAGAGTGTGCCATGCTTACAACATGTTCATTTTCTTAATATACCACTCGAAGTAGATGTATTCTTACTCAGGTAGTTTAAATTGATGTTTAGTGCAAAAGGTTGGCAGAGAAGGTAAATCCCAGCTTTGAAACGGAAAGTGAAGGCTAAAATGGAGAGGAGAGCAAAGATATGTACTCATCACCTCAAGTCTTCCTGTTAAGATACCTAGTTCTTTATAACAGCTGCAGTTCCAATGTTGTGATCCTAGAATTTATGAAGGAAACAGATCTCTCTTCTTTTCTATGTCAATAGCCCATTGACCTCAGTCTGGTTAAATTAAAAACAAATCAGTTACTTCTGAGTGAATCACTCTTAAATTCCATTCAACACTTCAGTGTTTCTTCCCTAACTTTCAAAAGCCTGAATTCTTTCTGTAAGTGTCCTTATTGTTATTATAAATCCAGCTTACCTTAGAATTCTGTCTCACTGTTTACAAATGGCCAGATATTCTGGACTATTGAACTCCTGATTCCCAGTACATGTTTGTATTTTTCTTTATGTTGTCCTCTGCCTGGATATATCCTCATTCCCAATCAAAGTCTATCAGACTCTGAAGTTATACAGCTATGTTCATATTTGTAATACTAATCCTTCCTCCACTAAAAAATCTGCAAGCATTTCTATATTGACCATCACTGACAAGATAGACATTTCTGGACAGTCATCCTACCAAAATTAAGCCCAGTGATTAATAGCCCTACTATAGTAGCATTGTATTAACACACTGCATGATCATCATCTGAGTTGCTCTACATCATACCTCCTATATATCTTTTATATGAAAAAGAACAACAGAAGTGTCTAATTATTTACATTTCATTATTAATCATTTTAACAAAACTTCCAAAGTAGTACTACAGTACCCAAAGTTATTTTAATAGCATGCCATTAATAGTGCATAGTAACATATTTAGAAGGTTATCGTTTTGTGTTACATTATAATTTGTACACTCAAGTTGAGCTTCAGTGCTGGATGGGCTAATAAAATTGCAACTCTTCATAGCATTAAACATAAACATTATGAATGGAATGAGTTTAGTCACTATTGTTCTTTCATGCAAATCCAAAACTCAAAAGCAATCTGATGACGTTGGAACTATTTGCAGTACATGAACCATCAGGTTAAATTTTAAAGATGGAAGAGGTTATAGAAAGAAAAAAATAATCTCTTTCTTAGAATTTCTGTTATCTACTGACTGTAGCATAACTAATAAAGCTTAGAAAATCAATTTTAAGCTATATTATCTGTACTAGTGAAAAAGTAAAAAGTATAAAAAATATTTTCCAGAAGTCTATCAGCTTGTACACCTTTAGGATACTCATAATATGAGGTTAAAGGAGAGAATTGCTGAGACATCTGTAGGGAGGCTGAAAGACAAAAGGCAATTTCAACGTAATGGCAGAAGGCCTTTTGAATGGTGTGGACATCTAAATCTGGATTTTAAGTTATCTGTGGAGTTGTGATGTAAACTCCATTCATCTCATGAAACAGCCTTAAAATTACTCCTGGAAAAGATGCTCATACTTAGAGTGGAGAAAAAAGAATTCAAAATTTAAGAGTACCTTTAAATGATGTAGGTGTGAGTCAAGTATTTTGAAATAAATGAAAGTAGAGAATGACTAACCTGCGGAGGTCTTACTTTATGTTTGAGGGGAGAAAGCACTACGAGTATAATGTTGCAAATTCCTTCTGAGTATTTTCTCTCTTTATTTTATTTTTTGAAAAGATTTATTTATTTATGCATACAAGAACTGGGGGACAGGCTAGAGGTGCAGGTGGGTGAGAAGATTCACCAGAGACAGAGCGGGGAGCAGAACAGGCAGACTGACTGAAGCACACTGCTGAAGGGAGCAGTGGGTAAGACAGAATAGGTCTGCTGCACCATGTAGGTAGCTCCCTGGCTGGCCGGGGACTGAACTCATGCTGCAGAAGCTGCGGATAGCTTCACAGTGCTGTGCTTAACCCCTTGTGCCACCAGGGAGGCCCTCTCTCTCTTTTTAATACCAATTCTGTTTCCACCCCTAAATTACAATAATGATTGCTGCAAAGACAATACAGATATATATAGAATAAAGAGTGAGTGTAATCCTTCATCTGCTCTCTTTCCTCCAATAGCATTTTTATTTTCTCTTCAAAGGTAATAATTATTAGCTGCTTGGTCTATTTTCTCCAAACCCTCTTCTGTATTCTCCAAAACCTCCTGAATATACTCACATACATATGCACATCTCTAAACTGAGGCAAATGTGTATAAAAATAAAAGGGATTATGTCATATGTAAGGTATATATATATGTATATATGTATATATGTAAATATAAAGTATACTAGGCATAATATTATAAATAAAGGTTAACACTACATGTATATGTCTGTATATATACATGTGTATATACACATATATTGTTCTGCTATGTTGGTATCAAATCAGGGGATACATGATATTAACATGACTTATTACTGATGATGTCAAACTTGCTCACTTTGGTTGACTCCAGGTTTCTCTATAGCAAAGTCACTGTTTTTCTCTTTTCATTCTCTATTCTTTGGAAGTGAGTCACTAAACCCTGCCCAACTTAAGAGGAGGAGAATTAGACTCCATGTGTGGAGCTTATTTGGAATTCTGTGAGAAAGACTTTCCCTGCTCTCCCATTTATTTATTTATTCAGCCACTTATTTACATAAACATGGATGCGTGGATATTTAATATATTCTTTGGGTTATTATTCAATGCTATAGTCTTTTATTTTTTTGTTCCAATTCAGATTTTTTTGACTTATGCAGTCATTCACTCCCTGTCTCTCCCTCTCTCAAGATATTACATGGAAGAGGAGCAGGCATAATAACATTCTATTTATGTTTTCAGATGCTTACTCATTTCTTTCACTGAGTCCCTGGTTTTTAATTTTTGCCTTCTGATGAAATGAGAATCAGGTGGATAATGAGTTAGCTAGCTATTAGGCCACAAACTAAGCTCAGCCAAGACTGTGTTAGGGGGCTGGGGATGATGATGCTCCTCATCACCTTACATCAAACTGCTATTATTGACAATATTAGTCACTTTTTGACCCTTCAACATTGTCCATACAAGATCAAAAGTTGCAGAAATAACTTAACCAAGTCCCCAGAATAAACTGGCACTAGTTTATAAAACATTCCTCTATCAAGGACTGCACTCAAGCAACCAGTGAACTCTATGTTTTTTTAAAATAATTTTGTTACTGATTTACCATTGTTTCAATACTACATAAGTTTCTGGATTCAGCTTCCCACCTTTATATATTTATATATCACATTGCACCTCCCGCCATAGTTCATTCTTTTTCTCTTTTTCTCATGTTCCAGTGGACTGTGATGAACCCTCAGAACAACTGAAGGTATCAACACTACTGAAAGTTATTAGGCACTTCAAAGGCGGTGTGACCCAACCTGGTGGAGAAAAGCCTTTTCTTCCTCCTCAGGTAGGTTTTTTGTCTTGTGGGAAACAGCTAAAGGGGTCTGGTTTGGGCAACCCCAAGCTTCCCTGACAGGTCCCCTCGAGCTGGGCAGTCGCTATAGCTGAGACAGCAGGCAGATTCACTTTTCTGCTCTTTGCCCCTCTCTCTGTGGCCAGCAATTGAGCCTGTTTGCTATAAATGGTGCCTATATAAATTCTAATATGAAAAAAAACCTGCAAATTTTGAGAATGCAATTTAGAATTTTTGGTAAACAAGGACTAAGTCAACATTTAATGGTTTAGTTCGAAGCAGGCACACCTTTAAAGTTAGAGTGGTGGGTGTTGATTCTTCTACTCTATGTTTAAATATGTTTAAATAAAAATGAGCCCAGGATATCCAGCAAGAAAGAGTAATTGACCTGGTCTGTGTCAACAAAGATAGATTTACTTTTTGATGTTCACACCTAAACCTCTCTTTGTAAAGCTCTTTTCCAGGAAGACTAATCCACTTACCTCTTCTAGGAGAAAATACTCTTGCTATCCCAGTAAAAGTCCTGTCACACTTTTCCTTTCTTTTTTTTATTAAAAAATTTTTTAAAAGGAAGGTTCTACTTTCAGATAGTGGAAGAAACCTGTATTTGGATCATGGGGCATGTAGAAAATTAAAATTCAGTTCACTTGGTATTGGAGGGATCTCCAGGGCAACCTGGAAACATAGGTGGCCATTCTCTAGAACAACTGAAACTGTGGCAGGACCAGAGTCCACGTGACTGCCAACTGAGCGCTGCCTCCTAAACTTAGCTGTACATACTTTTGAAATTCCTTATGCCTACACTGTACCTGGGGTCAGTGAATAAGAATCCCTGGGGCACAATCCAGGCATTAGTGATTTTTTGCTTGTTTGTTTCGCACAGTCTTCATTCCAAAGTCCAGACAATGTATCCATAGAATTCCTTTTTTATTTTTTTTTAATTTTATATATTTTTTTACATCATTTTTCATTTTTGCACAATGTATGCATTTTCATCCTGGTTATATTCCCCATACAATTCCCCCCCCCCCTCAGTGATTTTTAAGCTCCTCAGTAATTCTACTGTTTTTCCAAGGTTGAGATTTTCTGCAATAAAGAGAAATGCCCTAGGTATTTATGGAATACATTGGCATTTGGAGAAAAATGAAATGGGTTCCAATTACATAGTCACAGTGGCACATGCTTGAAATTATAAGTATTAGATTGTTAATGAACTTCTACTTAGATGATCAACCCTATACTGCAGCACTAATGTTATAAATGGCAGAAATTTATTTATGAGTGTTAATTTTGCTTCAGAGTGAGTCCATCGAAGCAATTAATTAAATAAAGAGATAATATGTTTTATTAAGAAAACTTAAAACTCAAATTTGCTCTCTTTATTAATGTTTTAGGGAATAGCTTTTCTTCCTGGAGTTCCTGCTCCAGAAAATTTAAGCAGACTTGTAGGTGTAAAGGCCCTAGTCCTGTTAAAATACAGTTGCTGACAAAGCTAGTAATAGTAACAGCAGCATCATTATCAGTGTTGTTATAAATCAGCTTAATTGTCCCTTTGCTTTAGGATATAGGCAGGAAAATACCTTCCTGATCATTCATTCTTGTTTTTCTTCATTGACCTGGTTTTGCTTCCCTTTCTGGGAAAATGATGGTGAATCTTTGTTAGTCTGCTTCTACAGTGATATAAAAGAGCTCTTGCAGGAGGCAGCACCTCTTCATACCCTTCTCCTGCATCCTTATCATGTATACTATTGCAGTGCAAGCCAGACCTGTGGTATTTGCATATAATGGGTAGAAGAAATAAGCTGCAGCAGACTTTGGAGCTTGAACGTGATGGCACCACCAATGCACTCACTGTGCTAAGTCTGCACACTAAGAAACCACATCCCACAACATTGCCAGTGAAGCTCAGACCATCGGTTTCCTCAACCACTAATTTTAATCTGCAAGAATATAGGGTAAGCATGGAGAGGTGAGGTATTTAATCAAGATCAAGGGCTCTAAGTCCAGACAAATTTGGATTCTAATAATACTAATTGTTAGTATCTATGCCAAGTACCGTTATAAGTGGTTTAGGCATTAACTGATTTAAATCTTACAACCTCTCTCTAAGGTAGATAATTTTAGCATCCCTTCCTTACAAAGATGACCCAAAGCACAGAGATACTATGGTACTTGCTCAAGGTCACACAGGTAGTGTTTTAATATTAATTAAATTCCTTAATTAATTAAGGAATTTAGGCTTTCAGTCTGAGAACTTGGCTACCTGATTCTGTGCTTTTATCTATTACTCAACACTTTCACATACCAAGGTTGCAGCCTCCTTTGGGTGTCTTACTGAATCTCACTGAGTCTCATTTTCTCATTATGATAGTACTTATCTTGCAGGATTGGTGGGAAGAAAATGGCTCGTGCAATGCCTGGCACGGCTTTCTCTCTGTCGATGTTATTTTTCACTGCCAGACAGGTTATTGTCAGCTTATTCTACCCTATGGGCCAAGATGGAGGACTTGTGTATTTATTTAATGATTAATTAAGATAGGCTAGGAGAACCTTGTACTTAATTTTTCTTGTCTCCTACTTCAGAATATATTAAGTACCAATATTCCATCTAAACAGACTCCACATTCTCACACACCACACTTCTAAAATAGTGATTTCAGAAGATTGTTAATTTCAGCCACTTTTGTCCTGAATGAAAACCACTTTCATTTTATTTATTTATTTTAAATATTTATTTATTTTTTCATGCAAGAACCGGGGTACAGGCCAGATGCCTGGGAGGGTGAGAGGATTCACCAGAGACAGAGCGGGTAACAGAACAGGCAGACTGATGAAATACACTGCTGAGGGGAGCAGTGGGCGAGACAGGAGAGGTCTGCTTACAATGTGGGTTGCACCGAGGCCGGCAGGGATCGAATCGGCACTGCAGAGGCTGCAGACAGCTTCTGAGTGCGGCACTCAACCACCTGCACTTTCATTTCAATTAGACTGTACTGTTTAGCTAAGTGATGAACTTCCTCGAGGGAGTTCATGATGTGATATTATAAAGGTTTTAAGATTTATATATTGGATTAAAATTTTAAAAAGACAATAAAAAATAAAACAAAAAAGATTTATATATTGGGCATTATATATTCTAGAAGCATGTGTCTGGAAGCAGAAATCCACCCAGTTGAGTCATGGTAGTTGGAATGGAGATGACAGAAGTTGCTTTCCTTTGCTATTAAAAAACTGTTCAAATGTTAGGGTTTCATTTATGTTAAATGTCTAGAACAAGCAAATCTACAGAGACAGAAAGTAAATTAGTGGTTGTTAGGGCCTGGGGAGAGGGAGGGAACTGCTAGTGGGTATGGCGTTTCTTTTACTGGTAACAAAAATATATTCTGGAATTGCATAATGGTGGTGATTGCACAACTCTGAGTATGCTAGAAATCTCTCATTTGTATGCTTCAAGTAGGTGAATTTTATGGTGCATAAAGATCTCAAAATCACTATTATATTACAAAACTATTCATGTGGACATTTTCACCTTTGTCTCTTGTGCCATCATGAGTCACAAGGACATGTTACCAGTGACTGTTGGCAGTGATGGATGGATAGTAATTCAGAAAGCACAATAAGGTGTAGGATTATTATAACATTTTTCAGGTTGAGTAACTACATTCAAGAGGCTGTTTGGAGTGACTGTATTCTCTGTAGAGATCTTGAAACCCCTTTTCTTTTTCTTTTTAAGATTTATTTAATTATACATACAAGAACTGAGGTGCAGGCCGGAGGTGCAGGGGATTGGAGGAGTGAAAGGATTTGCCAGTGACAGAGTCGGGAGCAGAACAGGCAGGTTGACTGAAATGCACTGCTGAGGGGAGCAGCGGGTGAGACAGGAGAGGTCTGCTGCGCCAGGTGGTCTGCTACCTGGCCAGGAATCCAGCTTTTGCTGCAGCGGTTGCCTGCTGATAGCTTGATAGAGTTGAGGCTTAACCTCTTGTGCCTCTAGGGAAGCCCCAAACCTTTTCTAATGCAGGGACCTGATTACCCAGCGCTATCGTGAGAGTGACCAGAGGGGACTGAAGCTCTGGACATAGTGTGATTTGTACAATGCTTGTCACCCAGCACTTGGTGAATTTTTGATTGGATGAGCAAATGAGTGATTGAGACTCCCCATGGATCTTCTGGATTAGAGTAAAATCTCTGAACCCAAATAGTGATTTTAAACTATTTTTATACCTGGAACAATTGCACAATACAGTTAACTTCTAAACTGCACAGGTTTGAACTGTGCAGTTTCATTTATACTCAGATTTTCTTGTAAATAGATGATGTATACTCACTATATTGATAAACACAGTACAGTAAATGTGCTCTCCTTTTCTTATGATTTTCTTAATATTATTTCTCCAGCTTCCTATATTATAAAACTACACAATATAATATATATAACATGCATGATGTGTGTCAATTAGCTGTTTATGTTATCAGCAAGGTTTCAGGTCAACAGCAGGCTATTAGTGGTTATTTTGGGAGGAGTCAAAAGTTATAGGTCAACTGCAGGAGGTAAGGTTGGTGCCCCTAATCTCCATGGTGTTCAAGGATAAACTGTATTCCAAAGTATAATGTTGATGCAATATTTTTAGAACATTCAAATGTAAAGAATTATGTTAATATTATTACATCTATATTAAGAAAAATGCAATACACAAAAGTAGTATAGTTGCCCACCCCCCATGCTTACCACACGAGCATTACTTTGTCTTTTTATGTATTTTTAACTTATAAATCAGTGATTTGTTTTTTTAAATTTGTGAGTTGTTTACATGTCTATATAACCTCGTGTTACATTTTTATTCCTTCATATGTGCACACACTTCACTCACCTACTATATCTCCATGACCTGTTCCCTCTGGTAACCACTATATTTGTCACTAAGTCGAAGACCTATTTTTATTGTGCTTTCCCGTTATAGGGAGGTAACCATAAGGGCAAATGCTGTTAAAATTTTTCCCTTGAACAATAGTGACACCCTGTGGCAACTTCATGCAATAGACTTTATTAAAATGGTGAGTGGATTTCTTTCCTCCTTAAAGCAAGCAGTAATAAACAAGTTAGTCAGGCTTTAGATTAAATGACAATTTATCGACTGTCTCTGTGCACAGGAGCTATGCTAGTATTTTCATAGATATTATTTGTTTACATTATTTTATTTTTCTCCCAGATGATCAGTTTCAAAATTCTGCATATACCTGTATTGTAGAGCAACTGTGATGTTTGGTACACCCAAAATTGTAACAAAATGTGAGTGTGTGTGTGTGTGTGTGTGTGTGCACACGATGTGTGTTGCTGGGAAAATGGGTTATGCTCCCACAACACTTGACATTTTTATTTAAGAATATGTTTCTGACAATGCCATTATGATATACTTTGGACTCACTGGCTTCTTTTTCTTCGGAAATTGCCATTTCTGCTTGGTAAGCCATATTTACCTTAGGTTAAAAAAAATCATGTTTATTGAGATAACAGTGATTTACAACTCTGTATATATTTTAGGGTGGATAGGCTCATACCTCCAAAAATGTTTATTCCCAAATACTTCCAAAGTCTAAATAACCCTCCATTAAAAAAAACCCAAAACGAACAAACTCAAAACCTCAAAATTAAAGGAATGAAAAGCAAAGGAATAAAAAAGGCAAAAATAGGATCAGATAGCATTGCAGCATTAACCCAGTGGAAGGTGTGTTGGGATATGAATGAGTTTCAAATCCATTACTTCTCCCCATTTGAGTTTAGGCAATTTAGTTAATCCTTGAGTCTCACTTTGTTCATCTGAAAAATGGAGATAATTGTATTTGAGAATTATTGTAAGAATCACCTGGGGGTGATGAATTTTTAGATACCAACAAAAGTATAATCATTGAAAGAAAAAAGTATAAACTGGACTTTATTAGAATTCAATTTTGCTCTGCAAAATAGACCTAAGAGAATGAAAAGACAAGCCACAGAGAAAATATTTGCAAAACGCATGCAATCTAAAGGACTTGTGTTCAAAATATGCACAGAATCTATTGAGCAAATGTATGTTTCTAAATTAAAAATTATACTGTATTATAAACATATTTTATTTATAGCACATTTACTTTTATTGATTATAAAATAATATACCATCACCATAGAAAATAGAAAAATGAGAGAGATGAAGGAAAAACAATCCAGTTTACTCCATCTCAGCAATAATAATTGCTAACATTTGATGGAATTTTTTTCCTTTTTTCTTAGCATACATATATATACCCATGTAGTATCATTAGTTAAATATTTTAAAGTTATCCTATTTTTTCTGCCCCTGAGGTGGCCTGTATTTCTACTGAGAAAAGGAACTCTACCTCTTTTCCAACACTGAGTTATGGCAAGTCAAATCCTTCCCATTTTATAGAGTGATATTGGCCAAGTCCTGGGGCCACATCGGGGTCAGCATTAGGAAGAGAAAGCAAACATACTCCTCTGGAATGTGCTTGCTGGCCTCTCCTGCTTCTGATTAGATCTTATTTGCATCTGGGTATGTGCACCTGTGTGAGTGAGAGTGAGGAAGAATGCACCCTCACAGGGAAAGTAAGGGACTGAGAGTGCAGGGTTGAGACTTAGCGATAGCTTTGCTGGATTCCCACTTGTTAGAATGGCCTCAGGAAGCCACAGCTAGGGACTTTTTCCATATCTTTGGAAATTTTTCATTGAACTATAAAAGAAATACTGAAAAGTGTGCAACTCATATGTATCAGACTACAGTTAATCAAACTGAATGCATCTAGATCAAGAAATATTACCACTATTCAGAACTCTCCACCATGCTAACTTCTTTCCATCTATTACTTGCTCCAATGAATGAGCAGACGTCTAAGACCACAGATTATTTCTGTCTGCTAGACTCTTTAATTCTACTATGAACTTGATAAAGGGAA